TATGTGACTTCCGATGATGCAGCAGGAAGGTGTTGCATCCAGCCTTCGGTCCAACAGTGAGGGATGCCCCCGGCACAGGAAGACCTTGACCTGGAGACAAAACCCCCTGTTCATTCATTAACGTTTGGCCTCCAGACAAACAGCTGGAGGGGGAGTTAGTAGTTGGTACGCATGGAAGGGCTTTAGCAGGAGTTGCCTGGTTTCTCCAGAGTTGCTTATGGCAGCAACACAACATACACCTACACAGAACCCTGGCTGCCTGGAAAACACCACACAAGCTCTGTAACCACCTGAGTAGGGAGCTCGTCCACCGCTGTAGCGGCTTCCGTCTGCGTGCGGAGCTGTGGGTGTTCTTTAGAGACTTCATGTGTTAATCTGGGCACGGGTGTCCTGATGAGAAAGACCCAGGGAAGTTGGTTGGCTGCCCGGGAAGTCTGTTTCACTTGTGCCCGGCAACTCCTGTCTCCTTAAAATTATTAGCAAAGCGTGGTGCTGGGTATGACCTCTCACACGGATGGTCCTTAGTTATTGCAGAGGTCATTTCTCAGAATGCTGCCGGTGCTTCGTCCAAACACGGGAGGCAACGAGAAGAGGAAGATGTGGGTACAGGCCTTCAGGGATCCAAAAGGTAAGAGAAGTGAAGGGCGTCCCCACGATGGCGGTCGGAGGCGGCCGCTCTGAGTGGAGAAGCAGTTCCAGCAACAGGCCTGTTGGCCCTGGATCATCTTTTAAGGTCCAGTGGTGCCCGGGAGGGTCCGGCCTGGTGTCTCCCAGACCCTTGGTTTCCTGGGGTTACATGCTTATATAGCTCTTCCTGTCTTCCCCGTGTCACAAACACAGGAGGCAAAATGTCAAAGCTTTTAGGAGAATATGTGATCTTAAGTCAAGGCAAAGAACCAACCAGAAAGGGCAATTTATATTTAATTGCCTTAAAATTAAAAACCGTTCATCCAAAAGTACCATAAAGAAAGCAAAAAGACAAAGTACACATTGTGTATATGTGTGTGCATGTGTGCTGGGGGGGTATTCACAACACATACACACAAAGGTTTATTATCCTTGAATATACAAAGATACATGCTTCTACCTTTACATAATATCTAGAGAATGCTTACAAGTCAGCAAGAAAAATGCCAAGACCAAAATGGACAGAGGACACGGATAGGCAGTTCACCGAAGAGGAAAACACGGATGGAAACGTACACGCGAAAAGATGTTCAGTCTCCCCGCAGCCAGTGCAGGTAAGGGTCGCAGAGGGATGCTTTCCCCTGCCAGACAGGCAGGGCCTAGGAGTCCTGCGCTACTGCACCTCAAGGAGGAGGGCCCTGCCGGCCAGCCTGCCCTGCCGGGGCAGCATTTAGGAAGCAAGTGGGCATTATTTTGCAAATCTGAAAATAGGCTTCCCCTGGGAATGAGCCAGTTGTCCCTGGGGCCAGAAAGCTGGTTTGTTTTGGGGGTTGGGGGCTATACGGAAGCTGTAGCCTTCAAGGTGGCTGGGTGGTCCAGTCCTCTGGTTCACAGGCGAATGTCTCCTCAGCAGCCACCAGCTTTGTTCCCCCACGTACCTCAATGTGCTGACAAGTATCATTTCCTATATGTACGATGATATTAGTAAGTTTGGAAAGGTCTGCCTGCAACATATTTATAGAATATTCATAGAAGTATTGCTTAACCTGGAAACAACCCCAAGACCAGTAACAGGTACATAAATAGCTAAGTGTGTAGTGATACAGTCTTTAAATGGAATACCATACAGAAGTGAAAATGAACAAACTTGAACTACATAACACTAACTACAGATGTTTCAAATCAATGTCAAGAAAAATAGCAATTCAAATGACCCTTAAAATAGGACTCTATTTGTATCAAGTGCAGAAACATTCAAAGCTTGAAGTATTGTTTAGAAATGTATTATTTACATATGTAGTAAATGATAAACATTTAATGAGAAAGTTGGTGCCTTGGGGACATGCTGGAAATTTCCAAGGCATTGTAGGTAAATTGGATCTTTAAAAACAATTCTTTACATCATAATTATGTATGTACATTATCTATGTACATATTATATACATACATATAATAGATTTATTTTTGATTATGAGAAATAGTCTATGAAGACATATCTTTTTTAAAAGAGTATAAAAAGGTAGATGTGAAACCTCATTTTTGCAAAACATTTATCTACATATTTCAGGAATTCAAAGAAACACTTCCCCCTACCCACATTGTAAAACCTCTGAAATTAGGAAGCATGCATTTTTAAAAAGATTTATTTATTTTTAGAGAGGGGGGAAGGGAGAGACAAAGAGAGGGAGAGAAACATCAATGTATGAGATACATCGATCAGCTGCCTCTCGCACACCCCCAACTGGGGACCTGGCCGGCAACTCAGGCCTGTGCCCTGACCAAAATCGAACCTGTGACCCTTCGGTTCGCAGCATGGCATTCAATCCACTGAGGCACACCAGCCAGGGTTAAAATTAGGAAGCATTTTCAAATGGCTACTGACCCCGTGGCAGGTACGCTATAGTTATCAATGTCATTTTCATGCATAAATCTGTTCATAAGCAGTCATGTTTTTCTCACGACCAAATTATGTGCATCCTTGGCTTAACGCACCTGGATTTTAAACATTTACAATCTCTTTAAAAAGATGACATTATTATTTGATGTCACTATGTATTCAGAAAGTCACAGAGACCCCACAGCAAGAAACATGTTTTGTATTGGTGAGGGTGCGGCAAATACTCAGCATTGGAGAAAAACCCATGATTTTATCATTTCTTGCAAAGCAATGACTAAGTGCTTTCTGAGACCTAAGAAAGGAAGATATCCACAAGTGGGCAATGCTTTTGTGTTTTGTTCCTGAGATATGCACAAAGGATTATCTAATCCATGCCCAGTCACCCAGCTGCAGGTGGAATTGAGGAAAGACATTTCAAAGAAACAAGCAGATTATGGCAGATTAATTTCTGTGTCATAGCTTCTTTTTTTATCTTAGTGGGGAAAAAAAGGAAATGAATGATGAGTGTTTTTGCCAAGAGCATTTGGAGTTGATGAAATGTAGTATATTTTGAATATACATATATCAAAGTCTAAAGGAATCACCCATCAAGGATAATAATATATATCTGACTTGTGGGATTACAAGTGACCCCCACCCTACCCCCGGTTACTGTTACTTTTGACTTTTTCTACAATCAAGACATTACTTGAACAAAATTATTATTAGAACACACTGAGCCCTGGCTGGTGTGGCTCAGTGGACTGAGTGCCAGCCTGTGAACCTAAGGGATGTCAGTTTGGTTCCCCATCGGGATCCATGCCTGGGTTGCAGGCCAGGTCCCTGTTTGGGTGTGTGCAAGGGACAATGGATAGATGTATCTTTTGCATATTGCTGTTTCTCTCCCTCTAGTAAATACATAAAATCTTAAAAGAAAAAAGAATGCATCGAGATCTTTTGTTTTTAACAAAATCAAGCATACCATTAAGAGAATGTGGAGGGAAACTGTAGCCCACTTATATCCACAAGTCACATGGGTCCCACCTCTGTGGCACTGGCAAGGCCAGGTGCAGAAAGCCCTCGCCTGAGACTCCTGGCTGGGGTCATGCTTCCAGGCCTCGCGACGCTGGCACGCGGGCTTCGGTGCCCCCAGCTCTAGGGGGAGGGGTCTGGTATGCCTTCGTAGGGCTGTTAGGAAACTGAGTTTTGTGCAACATCATTTCTATGGCTGTTAACTTGTCAAGTTTGTGTGTGTGCACGGGTGTGTGTGTATCATTTTGGGGAAGAAGCAGGGTTTCTAAGGTTTGATAACTTGGAAAATCCTGGGTTAAACAAAGTTAACTGGCTTTCTCGGAAATTTCGGTGTTCTGAGGTGCCCAGGGAACTACGCGGAAGGGCTGCAGCGCAACGAAGCGTGGCTGGGAGCCAGTGTTCGGTGCGGCACAGAGCTCCTGGATTGGTTCCTGCCTGCAGGGGCGTCTGAACGGTGGACGGTGGACGGTGGACCGCGGCGAGGAAGGCACCGCCCCCGCTTGCAGCCCCTCCTCAAGGTTCTAACCTTGCTTGAAACACTCTTATACTAAAAATAAATAAAATTTCTTTTTCTGCCAGGAGTTAGTCCTTCATGAGTCTCCTGGGCAGGAAGGTACTTTTGTCCCCCAGCTGTGTCCTGGGACCGGTCACCGGTCTCGGTGTGGCACAGCTTTTTGCCTCACGCACTGTCACCCCCGGGGCCTGGCCTCATCTTCGCATCCCTGGACTTGGCCATGGAGCAGGTGCCCATCACATGTGCATCTCCCAGAACAGCAGTTCTGGGTATGCAAACCATTCTCCTCCCCGAAAAAAGCACCTGGGTCAGTGCATTGTGAAAATCTTGTTCTTAACTTAATCACAGAGATACCTAAGCACCAATTTTAGGGAATGTAAGGTACTCTTGCATATAGGATGAACAATAAATAAAAACAAATGAAAATCAAAGTGAAACAAAAATAAGCAAGCCACCTTTTTTTCACACATTTCTTTGAGTTCCAACTACCCCCCCCGCCCCCCGCCAAACAAGCTTGGTTATACCAGTTGCTGAGATGTTTGGGCACAGCCCCTGTACTCTAGCCCTAAGGCCTGTGAGCCTACCTTCCAGGAGCAGACGCTGCCTCCCTCCCTGCGGCCGGGCAGAGGACCCTGGCCTGGCCTGGGGGCTGGCGAACGATTCAGCCTCAACCTTGCCAATGCACGGCACGACCCTGTCAGAAGGGCAATGCCACCTGATGGCATCTAACGTTCAATTCTGCCAAGGGATATCATCAATGACTTGTATTTAAATGTGAAATGGAACAATACATCTAAGCCAAATTAGCTGAAGAGAAGAAATGGTTTTCACAGTGGGTAAATTTAAAGTTCAGAAAAGAAGAAATCTTACTACTACAGTTTTGGGAAACATTTTATAATTTATATATAAAATCTCAGTAAGAAACCATGTAAAATGACAGAAATATCCACTTTACATTGCGTCAAAAAAAATTCACACTGAATGTAAATTTAATTACAAAACAAGAATATGAATAAAACATTTTAAAATAATCTCAATTATTTGGCAACTCATCACATCATCTCTAGAGACAAATTTGATCTTAAGAAAAGTTTAATCTTATGAAAAACATAAGTTGGACAGTTTGTTCATATGGGAGATTAAAGATGTTTAAAAAAGGACCTGGCAATAAAGCCAGTTTCTATCCTGAAATAATGACGTGGGAAACAACATAAAACCTGAAGCATGATGGGAGTGGCCTAATCCTCAGAGCATCTCTCTTCTCTGAAAACGACTGTACGGGGAGGACAGGGGTTAGGCCGCGGACCGGCAGAGAGGAGCAGACACCGACGGGGCGGGGGTGGGCGGTTCTGCTGCAGGTGACAAACAGGATGTAACTTTACCTGAACCAGAACCTCTTTCACCAGCGGGGCTGGTCGTAAAGTCATAGGTGAGAGTGTAATCTAAAAACAAGTGACATTCTTAAAAAAACAGTCACAACTGTGAACAGAAAATCAATGGAGCCCCTTGAGCTAAGCTACTGCACTTGAACACATGCGAGAAGGCTCTGTGTGTCCTGCCAGGCCATATTCGTAGTTACAGGCAGGCGGTCCTAAACACTGCTACTAATGACTGCATAGCATTTAAAATCCTTTTTTAATTAAAAAAATAATAAAATAAAATAAACAGATATATAGTAAAGTTCACAGATAAGTTTTCTCTGTAAAATAAATAAAGTGTTCATTGATTAGCATCATACACAGAGTAAAATACAACCTATTTTTACACGTTTATATACTGTACACGGATGACTGGCAGGCAGCCTGGTGTCTGGTGGGCTGAAGGGTCTGCATTCGCCATGTGCCCCATCAGGAAATCCCAATTCGAATGTTAAAATATACAACTACTTTGCTTTGAGTTGATACAAAGTAAACTTATTTTCCTTTATCTGAAATAAATGTACATAATATCTATCTTCTATGAACAATAGTTTATAAAGCTGTTTAAAATATAACAAGAAAAAGCTTGCACCTAGGAATTTAGAGCACATGCAGGTCCTTTCCCTGGTTCAATAAAACAAAAAACAAAAAACCAACCAACCAAAAAACCAAGCAGCCGCCACGTGTGGGTGAGGCTGGCGCTTTCTCCAGTTTCTCTCCCTCTCCTCCCGCCGTCCGCGCATTACCGCTTCGCCTTCTTCGCGGGGGCGTCCTCGGCCCGCTGCTGCTGGCCTCGCGTGCGCGCCCCCGGGGGGCTGGCCTCCCTCTTGCGCTTGGTGGGAGGGGACAGCTGCGCCTTCGACCTGCAGCAGACACAAGCCAGGCAGTGAGTGGTGAGAGTTCAAAGGAGCTGCTTCAAAAAAAATAGAAAAAGCCTTTTGAACTTGAGAGCCAAGAAAAGACAACCCGAGTAAGGCTTACACACAGGAAAAGGAGATGGGTTGAGAGGAGCTCGCGCTAGGCGGTGTTTGCTGACAGCCCCGCCCACAGAGTGGTTGGAAGCCGGCTCTTGTGTGGACCTCTGGTGTGGACGTGGCCAAGCCGACCCTCCTCTCTCGGCCCGGCCACTCTCCCTATGAAATCACCACCAGCCAGGCCCACACACGCTGCCCCCCGTGGAAACAGCCGGCTCACACCTACTCCCTCCCGGAAGGGGCACTGCCACACAGCGCTGCTCCCGAATGACAGCTGGCGGCCTCACAACAGGCGGGCTCCGCAGGCTCTCCCAGCTGCAGCCTAGGCCTGCTCTCCACTCGCGACTAGAATGATCTGCGGAAGCTACAGTTAATCATGCCTCTGTCGTGGTTGTCCGTATCTGTATGGACGTCTCTACATCTGGCTCCCCGATGCTTTCAGGATAAAGTCCTCTAGAGCAGAACCCTTGACTTTGCACAGTCTGGCCTGCCGTCCTGCCAAACACCTGATGTCCTTGCACATTTTCATGCCTTGGCATGTGACTTTTGGGGGGGAGGAGAGTCACTCCACACTTCCCACTCGGCAAACCTCACTGCAGACCCCCGTTAAAAGGAACTCCTGTGGGAAGCCGCCCTTTGGAAGTCCCGCGGCATCTACCGCTGTAATCCGTCCACCGCATTTCCCCCACATGGCAGGTACAATACAGGCATAATTTTAAAACGAAGTGTTACTAGAACACATAGAAAATACCGCTGGCACCACACCTTTAAGTCTGGTTATGAAAGTTTGGTTTCACTTATAGCAGCGGGACTGCAAAATACGTACTTGCTGTGGGCTGCTGTCAAAGGTTCGGGAGCCCCACACGTCCCCCCATTAAACAGGGTGTGTCCCCAGGGCAGCTGCTGGGTTCCCGTCATTTCCTGTCTCCAGTGCCTGGTGCAAAGCCCAGCACACGTCAGCCCCCGGAAGCTAAGCTGGCAGGAGATGCAGAAACAGGACTTCACCCGTAGAAGACATGTTTGTTCATCAGCCCTTTGACAGCAGAAGCAACTACACCCACACTGAGTCAAGTAGGGTTGCATATGATGAAGTTCTGGCGCCTTCCGCCTACTCTGAGTTGACCACGGCCCACTGCAAACCCTGTCTGGGGCAAGCCGCCTGCCATCAACGGAGCCCTGTTCACTGGACAGGTGGGCGTCCGGTGCTGTGCCAGGCGCCACTCCTCACCTTTCCGCCCAGAGGATGGTGTGACCAGCGCGTCGGCATCACCTGGGCCCTGCTACAAAGGCAGACTCTCGGGCCCTGCCCAGCCCCTCAGAAATAATGAAAAGACCCGAGATTCTGCTCACATAAAAAATAAGGAAAATACATCGTACTTGAGGGCTCATGGGAGAATCTATGTGCAAGAAGCCTGGCATTTGAGTTGGCTTCCCTTTCTGTGCACTGGGACGACGTATCCACGCATTACACGTATCAGGTGAAGATCCACATGGTAAGAGGTGTCGGAACGGTTTTTGTACACTCTGAAGGGCCCGGTATTTTCTGACGCAACAGTGCCCAGACAGTAAGGCAGTCTCTGATCCCAAGGAACAAACCTCTAGCTCAGAGGGAAAACGAAGCTCATAAAGCCATGGCATGCACCGCGTCACCGGCGCAGCCTGCCTGGGGGCACGGCAGGAAGGAGAAGTGGCAATGAGCAGGAAGGAGAGGTGGCGACGAGCCGACGCAGGTGGGGTGGGCGTGGAGGGCCCGGTCGCGAGGGCACTCAAGGCAGGCAGCACCTGTGCGAGCCAAGCAGAGCAGGACCCGCACAGCCTGCGGGGCAAGTCTTCAAGGAACTCCAGGAGAAAGTGTTACTGTGTCAAGAATAGTCTCAGGGGGTTAAAAATGAGCTGAAGTGTAAGCAGGGACTCACCTCACTGATGGGGCAGATTTACTAACTTTTACACCGTAGGTAACTTCCCGTTGGCTGGTTTTGGCGATTCCTAGGAGATGGTACGGGTGGCTCGCTCTGGGGCTTTCCGCACTGGGGCACAGAAGCCGCGGGCTGTGGCAGCCCTGAGCCTGCCAGGCCCTGGCATCTTCAGAAAGGATGGGCTCCTCAGGGCGAGCCAGAGAATGGGACTAAAAGCAGGAAACAGCTGGCCTTCTGAAACACAGTTAGTAAGGAGATCTCACGTCCCCTGTGGCTCTGCTTTGCTCTGACTGTGTAAGACAGTTTACAGTGATGCAGAGAAAGAAGAACCTGTGATACACAGAAAACATATTGGCTGACAAGAGAACGCTCTCAGAAGTGCTCATGAGAGAAGAAAAGGGGCCAAGATTCGAGAACTCACAATTCACAAGGCTGAACGTTAAGGCCCTGGAACCGGGTCCTCGTGGCCAACTGCGCGAGAGTCAGGTGCGGGAAGATCTGAGTTGCCAGCAAAGACGCTAAGAAAAATGACCTGCCAAGCGAGCATGAAGACAGAGGTGAGGGGACCCAGGTCTGGCTGTGTGCCGAAGCAGAGAGCCAGGGGCGCACGGGGGGACAGTCCTCCCCGAGTTCGCCAGCCCACCCTCGGTGCAGAGCGTTTGCTCCTTGAAGAGCAGACAGACAAGCTGGAACAGAGATGGCAAGGGGCTCAAATAGAAAGAGCAGCCCGAGCAGCTGCCCTTCAGTATTTGAGGGCATGTTGGACGGAGGCCCCAAGAGTCGAAGCCGCAGAGGGGTGGCTCCTACTGAACCAGGACACAGAGCCAGGAGGACGTGGCTCTCCCGGCCACTGCGGTACATACTGACGCAGTGACTGAGGCACCGATCGCTTAGTGGTACCGACCCACTGACACCCTGCTCCATCTTGAGAATCCAGGGTTATGAAGATGCCAGTGCCCTGGGACCAATCAACCAATGCCAGGGAATCTGAACCAAAGAGGACAGAATCCATTTGTAAACCAAGCACAGTAAGGAAGAGCAACGATGAATCCAGGGGATTACAGAACTGTAAGTAACATTTATTTTTGAAGAATGAATTTTAAGGCAAATATGAGAGCTACTTCTAGACACTCGCTGGAAGACGCCTGGAAGGCCTTTGGAACGTTCTCCAAGGTGGGCCATACTGCACCAGGCGATCTTCCCACGGCTGTTTTAAGAAGGAGGGAGGTGGCGGCGCTGGTGGGGTGTTCTGTACCTGAAGACGGGTGCTGGGCTCCAGCACCCCACCCTCTCCTATCAACAGGAATCTTGACTCCGACTTCTCTTCTATTTATCTGAGTCAACCCCACAAATACATGACTATGAAACCTCTACCATCCTCCTAGCCATGTGAGCACCTAAAGGCTTCCGGCTCTAAAATCTGACCTTTGAGGAAGTACATCATGACACGAGGGGCTGATAATGCGCACGGTCAGAGGAATTAGAGAGCGGCAGATTTTAAGTCTGTATGTAAACATAAGACACCCACCATGACAGGTGTTAGTGTGCGTTACTCTGGAAATAAATATTCCTGAACTTTTTAATTAATCTTGGATAAGGAAATTACAGACAATGATACCTTAACAGCTTGTGAATCACATTAAAAATAGAAAATATTCTCATTTTAGACAAAGCCATTGAACTGTAAATTGATGTAACATTTCTTGAGAGACGCAGCGGGGCGAGGAACACTGATTGATGGTAAGAGGGTTAATGACGTGCGTTGGCGTGCGGCGTACAAGCGGTGAACAACGTTTGCTCAGACTGAGCTGACAGGCTTTTTCCTCTTTAGGACTGTGCCGAGCCCTGACTATTTTCACGTGCACTGTGACTTGAGGAGAGAGAAGTCACTGGTGTTGCACAAACTCATTTGACCATGGTACACTTTTCCAGAGGCTGCTGGCTATGCTAGGGTTTGGGAAACATGAAGTTACCGGTTATTTCAGTTAAAAATGGCCACATATGGGCAATTTCACGTGGCCAACGCCTTCCACGGCGCTGGTTCAGGGCGCCGTCCCAGAGGTGGCTCGCTCTCTCACTGGACAAAGCCTGTTGCTCGTAGGGACTGGGTGCCTATCTGTGCTTTTACCCACAGTGATCTGCACCTCAGAGACCGGTACCTGTGACTGGTAACTACTGTAAAGGAACCGAATGGGTTCCACCACATGGGCATCTCACACCTGCCGAAGACTGAGGTGAACCTCAATAACGGTTTAAGATGGAAACCAGGTTCTCCGAGAAGAACCGAAATGCCAGAGGGCTGCGGCACATGCCCTCTGCGGAAGACCAAAGTTACAGAGACGACTTACACTGCGGCATGAGCGAGTCACTGAAAACAGCCCCATGAAACCCGAGCTGTTTCCTGATGGAGAAGCTGGGAAAGGTCTTTGGAAGCTCTGTTTTGCCCTGTTACCTCTGAGCCTCTGATCTGGTGGCAGACCTTGTGGTGGCTCCCAAGGGCTCGTCCTCTTCCTCCTCTTCCTCCTCCTCCTCAGACTCCTGGTCTTTCTTGTCCTCTGTTGCTTCAGAAATGGATTTCTGGCGTTTTCTTTCTGGTTCTGAGGATTCTGTTCAAACAGAAGGGTAACACCTGGATTGTACAATTCCCAAAGATACTTCCAAAGGCCAGAGTCATGGGGTTCAGAACGCAGGGTATTAGGGACTTGCAGGCAGAAGTGGTTTTCCATTTCCTTTCTCTTTCAGCACTTGCAATCCAAAACTGTTTAACTTAGCCTCAAACACATTTGGGAGAGTTTACTTAGGCAGTTCACAGCCAACATGCACGCAGACTTCACATGCACTCAGAAAAGCATCTGGGATGTACCATTTCTGACACGGGATTAGAGCCATTTCACACATATTTATGTAATATTAATACTGGCTTTACCCCCACTGGCTTTTTTTCCTCATTGAAAGAAAAACTCTTAAAAAGGTGATTTTGAAATAATAAGGCTCCATAATTAAGCATCTGCTAGAACATACCAGCATCATCAGATAAAGTGAGCGAACGCTTGGGCTTTCTTCCTCTCCGACGTACGCTCGCTACTGCTTTCTCTTCACCGTCATCCTAGAAGCAATGATATTCACGATGACAGAGCAGTCCACTGCGCATGTGCTGAGTTTATTTCTCAAGGACATATCTTGATAAGAAGATCAACACTTACATTGCTTGTACTTCTTTCTTGCAGGGCCCCCGTTTCTTTATTGGACTCATCTTTAAGAAAAGGGAAATCTCGGCATTAACACTTGATTAGTGCAAAACTAAATGTCAACAGTCTGGCTTGTGGTCTATGAATATAATTACGCTAATTAATGCATTTTTATACAATTCATCATTGTTTTGTATTACCCAAACAAAGTCTGAGTCAGAATAACTAGCATGGTGGAATGCAAGTCAAGACACTGAAGAGTTGTCATTAATAAGCTATGTGATCCGGGCAAACTGCTTAAATCCCCCAAGCCTAGGTTTTTCATCTGTATGAGAAGGAGCTGGGTTAGACCACCTTTATGGTCCGTTTCTGCTCAAATGTTCTGAACCCAGAAAGGGAGGTGGAAGGGGAGAGTGAGAGGTCCCTGAACATGTGCTGGGAACCGCAGACTTCAATGTAGCCCTGTAAATACTACAATCCCACTTTACAGTTAGGAAAAACAAGGCTCCAGCAACTTGATTTAAGCCATTTGCTCAGAGTCACATAACTGAGAAGTTGGGTGATAGTTGGAATTCTTTGAGTAAATACTTACAAATTGGTAACTAAAAAAACACATAAGATTGTCTTAGGTTATATTTGCCTATTTTTAAATAGGTTTATAAAAATTTCTTTCTGTAGATTTATAGTTTTCTGAGACCAAATCTTGGTAAAAAAAATAAAGTTTAGTTCAATATACTATATTCAAGTAGCTAAAATTATGGGACACTTGCAAGACACTTAACAACTCAGATGCTTCTTCTTAGCAACGAGACTGCAGCACTTGCCCTTTTCTGCAAGTTCAACATATTCAATGCTAACATACGGAAGAGCCGAACCAGGAAAAAGGCCGACAGAGTCCCGCCTTAATCTGGTCATCATTATCCAGATTCAGAAAACTACTGCTGAACAACCCCAAACATAATCATGGAGCTTCAATTTGAGTCTTTTAAAGGGCATTCAAGTTACATAAATTCTTCTTACATGGATTTAAAATATTATATTATAGTATAATATTGTGACTAAAAATTGGTTAAAAGCCAAACATAAGCAGAATCTCCTTTTTAAAACAAAGAAACCAACCAATCTTATTTTTCCAAGAGGTAAGAGGAACTGAAGCGTGATCACCAGATCACACAGTTAACTGGCGACATCGCTACAGTCTACATACGTGTGCCTTTGGTGATTGTAATATGTCTCTCCTGATCTGACCATGCCACTGACTTGATCCAAATAAGCTGTCACACTCATCTTTTTGACTGTGTCAACCCTTTAAAAACCACTAATGGATCTTCTTGCTTTTATGTAAAAGATATTAAGCCATGAAATGAATATATACACATTGTAAAACATTCTGGAAAATGTAGGCAATACTAACAAATAACATGGAATGTTCCCATCATCCCCCCATCCAGAGCAAATCTTTATCAACATTTGGAAGGACACAGCCACTTGAAACAATTTTATCTCTTGCATTCCGGCTTTGTAAGCTGCAAAGTGTGTTTTCAGAATTCTTTTGAGAACAACAGGCTCTTGAGCTGAACTTGTGTCTTCCTAATAAGAGTGCCCTGTTCCCAGCCTGGTCTACTTCTCTCTTACGCAGGTCCAGTAAATTATGGTTTGCACATGGCAAAGCACCTTCCCTAGTTTGCTTTTTCTTGCCTTCACCTTCCTCTCTGAAGGCTTCCCAGGTTTCTAAAACCAAGAATGGCTCAGATCGCAAGAAAAGCCAATAGGCACAGGGTCTCATGGCTATGAGGACAACTGTTTTTACCAAGGAGGCCACACACTTCAGTGAGAAACAATGAAACTGTAAAAGCTACCCCAACAGCCAGGCCCCTGCGCCCTCCCTCACCCCACACCCAGAGCAAAGCTGTTGGTACCAACCTGTGTGCATTACTTTCAGTTTGCCTCCAGGAGGAGATTGTTCTACCTAAATTTAAACAAACAGAACGCTGGAGTTAGCAGTTTGTAATCATCCCTTAGGAAGAAGGGTTAGGACTGCCACTGATTATGCAGTCAGAATGTTTAGGTCCTATTTTCTGCAGGTGGCCAAGTGCACCAAGTGAATATGGACCCGTGCTTCCAAGCGGGGCCGCCTCAGCCCTCTCCCCTGGCCGCTCCAGTCCCCGGCACTGGGGCACACCCAGTGCCGACCCGCGTTAACAGTCCCAACCCCGGCGAACCAGCTCATGCGCGCTCCTTCGGTTTTGTTGTCTTACAATAGTTCAATGGTCTCCAAGGAAATGGAGGCTCAAAAGGGTCACAGTGTCACAGGACTGGGAGCAAGTGCAGAGCTGAGGCTCGAATCCCATGTGCTTTTGTTAGGTCAGTGGACATATGTCTGTCCTTCTAATAATGTTGTCATTGGAACCCATGCAATGAAATCCTGATTCAACAATTTGGTTGGCCATATACTTCAGGGTCAATGATAAAGAATGCTTAAAAAGAGCAAGTACCACTGAGAAATTTTCTGCATTGAAATCAGGGTACAATTTATTACAAATTGTACAAGAGGAATGCCACAGGAAGTAGTAAATCAGTAAGACATCAGCAGTTTCCCTAAAGAAGCCACTACCTAAAAACCATGTAATACAGCGAATTTCTACATTTTAATTAAGGATGACCACAACAGGTAAATCCCTAGAAAATTTTTATGTAATCAAACTCACAAGTGAGGAAGGAATTAAACTGAAGAACTCATAATGCTTATGTAAAAATATTAGTAATTGGATATTTGAATGGTTATTCAACATTTTATTTAAGAAAGTCTTTTAAAGATTTTCAAATACTTCTTAAAAATAAACTGGTTCAAAATATTAGATACTGTAGTACACCCTTTCTAGGTCAAGAGCAAGCATGTGAAGTGTCCTCAGCTTTTGTGATTACTTACAGTGACAATGCCAGTATCTGCTTTGCAGTCTTCTTCTAAAAAAGGCAAAAATAAATCTCACTTAGAAAGTCAGTTTGAAAATTTCTTGTGTGAACTAAAAGCACACCAGATACCTACTTGTTTTTAATGCTGTTTCCACAGGGTGTTTACGAGGTCTTCCTCTTTTCCTTTTAATAATTACTGGCTGATCTTCCTAAGGAGAAAAGGAAAAAAAAAAATTGTATCCTCCATTATACAGATAGTACTCATTTCCCCAAAGTGAGAGCTAGGCTTCCTTCCTAAGAAGACCCGACCCGAGTCCCAGAGCTGTCACTTAGGAAACACGTGCCCTGGGGCTCAGCGCCTCATTTCTCAGCGTGGCCCCCGCGCCTCAAAGACCAGCAGATGCAGTGGGAACCTTTGGTCGTGAGGGCTCTGAAATAATGCAACACAAGTGATTCGTGTCAGCTTTTACCTCTGGAATAAACATGTACATACATTTAAATTTGGGGCTGGTCCAGTTGCTTGTGACCAAATGTGATTCCTCACAAAGAATAAAGGAAACCATTGAATTTCTCACACAGAAGAATGAGAAAACAGAAAGAACCATAAAAACCCTGGCAAACGTGGAAATGGCTGTCCGGAAACGCTGGCTGGAGGGCACACTCTCTCCCCGCTTTTTGGCCTGTCACAGGCCAGTGCGATTCTGTGCCCCCCTGGGCTCCCTGCAGATCTGAGCGGGCGCAGCGCGAGCAGCCCCCCGAGAGTCCCAGCCTGGCCTCGCGACTCTGGCTCCCACGCGGGCGGCCAGCGGGCCCCCCGCATGCCCTGCTGCCGCCGCCCCCGTTCGGCCCGTCCGGGCTCCAGCGCAGCAGCACCCTGCTCTCTGGACTGCACGGTGCGCGGCCCAGTGTGCCCAGCTGCTGGGGCGGGAAACTGGTGGGGTCAAGGAGGCACCGCTCCGGGCTGATCCCATGCGGCTGTGACAGAAGGAGGTCTCATACAAAAGTTGGGATGAAATGAAGATGAAAAGAACAAAATTAATCAAAATGACACTGATGAAATACACTGTATGAAATGGTGTCTCACTGTACTTAAAAAAAAAAAGAGCTCCTTTAACTCCTTCAAAAGTACTAAAGAAAATTTAGGTAACAGCATTTAGCGCATTGTATTTGTTCTTAGTTCTTTAGGTCAATCAGAAAAAATAAATAGGAAAATCTTCCTTACCTCCTGAGATTTTACGTTGTCATCGTCATTTTGCTCTGTCTTTTCGCCAGCGGCTTCACTGCTGCTATACTCATCTGCAGAAACGGCAGAGCTCAGTCACAGCTGGGGACACGGTCAGCCTCACAGCTGGGACACCACCAAGGGGACCGGCGCAGTCCCTGTCACCCACGCACACGCACTCCACTCTCAGGCCTGTGCCACCAAAGTTAATGAGCCAGGGTCTGGTTAACTGGTAAGCAAGCAGCACACTTTGGGTAGAGCAGGATCCGAATGAGAAGTGACGCCCGAGCCCTACAGATAATGCACAGGTGCGTGACCGGACCGTCACGGGAAGCGGAGGGAAGGCCGCTGCGGCTGGCGAAGGCTGGCCAGCGCGCGGGCGCCTGAAGGGCCCGTGTCCGCCCACAGTTCACCTAGTGGATGCATCACTCACCTCTCTCCTCCATGGCCCTTGGAGCGGCACCGCCTGTGTTAGGACTTGTTTTAGATGCTTCCTCCAAATCCCCAGGGCTCTCTTCCTGGGAAAAGTTAAACAAGACAAGAAGCCCTTTTCAAACCGCCTCCAATTACCCTCCCAAAGTTTCCCTTTCTATTTCAAAGACAGATTTCCCAGCGGCCTTTTAGAAGAGTTTGCTGCAAACTTTTTAAAATGTAACTACTGTTGCTGCTAGTGAAACTACAAAAAAGATACAAATTCTGAAGGCAGAAGAACATGAGATAATGTTCAGCCATAAAGCACCAAGGCTGCTATTTTTTTGTTTGCCCCTGCAAAATGGAAATCACTCTTCTCGCTCACTGTGGACTTTGTGTTTTGGAGGAAAACTCCAGAGGAGACAAAAACTTCTACAGATTTTTTTCTTCCCCTGAAAGGGACAGACTGGAAGGGTCCTCGGTGGGGCTGATGGAGAACAACGATCTCTCTCCATGGTTCAACTGCTCAGTTTGGTTGCAAAACAATTTTGAGTATGAAACACCAAAATGTTTTTATTATAATACCAATATATGAACAAATACATAAATAAGGCTCAATCATAAGCGTGCTGTTTTACAATATTGAAAGTACTGTATATATGATTTTTTACTGAAAAGGACGGGAAAATGAAGAGGCCCTTCGAGCGGCTTCCCGCACACCGAGGAGTGTCACCTCGGGACCGCTGTCCTGGGAGGGCAGGGCAGGGAGGGCCTAAAGGCCCGCCTCTGCCTTGGCCACAGACAGCTGATATTCATCCTGATGTGTGCCTTTCTTTAGTAAAATTCTTTTACTACTTTTTATTTAGCTCATCAGCTATTAAGTAAAAAAGGGACTCTGAACTGGTTTTAGTGTCTGGAAGTCACTGCATGTATTTTTGTAAGCTGATTTACATACTTTTCAGCCAGCAGAGGGAGGAAGCTGGGCCCAGAACAAGGCGGCGGGGCATAGATAAAAAACTTGAAGCCGTGAGGTGGACATAAACCACAGGAGAAAAGGTAATGGGACTGCCCATTTGTGCACAGCATGTATTTTAGGGGCAGGAGACAAGGTAGAGAGAATCTCAAAATTTTAAATTAATATGCATTCCTGTATTTCACTGATTTGATAATGTTTCTCTGTAACACAGCATATTACACTCTGGAAAAAAGCACCTAAAAACCTAAAGTTGTCAACAATATGACTGAACAAAACACGAGCAAGGATTATATGTAAAACTGTGATAAAATACAATCATACAGTATAAAATTATACAGAAATCTATACTTAAAACCTATATAACCTTATTAGCCAATGTCACCTCAACAAATTTAATAAAAGAAAAAAGAAAAAACTGTCCTTGGATATGTCAAATGTAATTTTTTCTGTAAGAAAATAAAAATAAAAAGGTTCAGCATTTGTTTCTTTTTTTGAGCTGAAAAAATACCTTTTTATAATACAGAGGTTGCTATTAGAGATACATAAAGTAAAAGGGAAAATAGAATGGAAAAAATACATATAAGTATTCACAGTCATATAATTAGGCTACCCCCAAAATTTATAACGAATATGTGGAAAAAATACCTTTGTGTCTTGTGGCTCCTTTTCAGAACGTTGCCTCTGTGCTGCTTCTCCTTTGGAATCTAGGGCATCTGAATTATCATCTGTAAATCGGTTTGGACAGAACCACAAAGGAATAAAGGCTAAATGAAAAATGAAATGTGTAGCTCTATTTTTAGACAGTTTGAGGCTTCCTTCTTAGACCTGTGATGCAGTGAAGCTAGTGATTCTAAATGTATGTTTAATGTCATGTGATTTGAGCACTGAACACAGACAGGCCTTGGCAAAGACAAAAAAAAATAATAATAGTAATAAAAAAAAAAATCCACAAATGTTCATGACACCAAAACACAGCCATTCTATGGAAAGGGCTTAGGGCAGGCCGGGTCCCCAGAGGTACCTGAACTTCCTGAATGAGTACCTGAGAGGCACAATTTAGTGACTACGATCATGGGCTTAGCTGGGAATCTCTCCACCTCGTATTTTCTTTTTTATTAAATGGTGATAATACCTAACACATAGCTATTATTAATATGCATCATGGATAATACCTACATATAGCATGAATTCAATAATTATAAAATAGTTACATTCCTCACCACCAAAGTATCCATTCTTTCTCACATATTATTTAATAAGTACTTAACGAATTTGTACTTGGTGTCAGGCATTAAAGTATAAACATCTCTGCTCTGTCCAATACTGTAGCCATTAGCGGCACAAGGCTATTGAAATTTAAATTAATTAAAATGAAATAGTTAAAAATTCAGTCTTTTGTGTATACCAGCCACATTCAATAGTCGCAGACGGCTGGTGGCTACTGCACTAGACAAAGCAATTACAGAACAGAAGATTTTTCATCACTGCAGCAACTTCTCCTGAGCCGCACTGTTACAGACCAGGAGAAAGTCAAACAGCAGGAGGCACTGGAGGGCCGCTGTGCGCCTTCACCGCAGCGTTTCCTGAGCTCTGCGGGGCATGTTTGTGGCCCCAGGCCTGGAGTCTGTGTGTGTTCCAGGAGTTGGGTTATACAGGAACCAACCTCGTTTCTAGGTCAAGTGCAGAAGTGAGCCTGCAGGCGTGAAGCTAGGCTGGCAACAAACTGGACTCAAGAGCCGGGAAGTAAACAATTGCAATTCATCCTTGAACAACGTAGGCTTGATTTTTAAAACCTGCGTATATGTGGACTCATGCAGTTCAAACCCACATTCTTCAACTGTATTTTCCGTCCTTAGCTGGGAATCTGTGTATGTGGAGAGCTCACTTAAGATACACTCAGATCTTCAACTTTGTAGGTGGCTAGGGCCCCTAACCCTCACACTGATCAAGGTCAACTGCACTACCCTCTAGAATTTTCTGTTATCAGCCCACTATTTTGCATGCAAAAATAACAGGATTTTTAAAGATGTCTGAAACACAAAAATGTATATTCTAAATACCCAGTTCGTCTTCTGAAGAGGGGTAATGCTTCTTTCTTTTTCTTTTAGGCATATGCCTTTCTTTCTCTTCCACCTGGAATTAAGAACAACTCTGTTAGAGGCACTCGAATTTGCATCCTGTCTCCTGAAATGGGTGCATTAGCTTCTAGCCTTTGGAACACAGTTTTGTATAAATTTTAAAAGTCTAGAACACTACTTTTAGCATCTAGATTTGAATTAGACTAAGCTTGAGTCTTTTTTTTTTAATTCTAATGTAAATCCATACAAAATATTCCAATCTGTTTCTGGTTACCTACTATATTTCAACAGTTGTAAAATACATTTTAAAAAGTATTTCTCATCTTACCATCTCTGAAGTCAAGCTGTGCCTTACAACTGACAGCACATCATGAACTACCTGGTGGCACTTCTCCGAGTGCCCACAAGAGGGCCGAGGGGAGGCCACCGATGCGGGAGGCCGCGTGAGCACACCACACGGAGCCGTCCAGCGCGGCCGGGGCCTGTCAGTTCCCCGAGCGCTGCGTGAGCACACACAGACGGCAGGATCGGGAGAGCCCTGGCCACTCTGCTGTATTTTTCACGTATACCAAGAAGTAAAGCCTTGGTGCACAAGTGAAAGCAGTTTATATAAAACATGAAATCCTTGTGTTTCTTATGAAAACCCACCTCTTTAGAATGCGCTTCAACACTGTGACCTCTTACAGCTTCTGCGTTGTCTTTGCTACCACTGGATTTATCTGAGTAATAAATATAACAAAGAAAAAACCACCTTCAGTAGTCATTAACGCCAACATTATTTAGGGGTATGTCTAGCGGGGGAAGGGAAAGAGGGAAGAACACTGCACGGATGACTGTGACAGGATCCCCAACAACTATGTCAGGCAAGGCCCCGTTTCCATTTCGAGGTCTGAGAAAAGAGGGTCCCAGGAGGCAGGAGACACCTGGACTTTACACAGCAGCTCCTGCAGCCGCACAGCACGCAGGAGCAGCCAAAGAAAACAAGAAGGTATCACTTCACAGTCGTCAGGTGAGCACACATCCCAACCCCCCTGACAATGCCACATGAGAGGAGGCGTGGAGCGACAACTGAAAAACCATGTGGCGACAATGTGGCACATTCAGTCAAGGGGAGGGGGTGCCCACTGACCCGGCAGTGGCACGCCTGGAGTGACAGGTGCACTCACTACACGGGCACTGGGACACAGGGGCAGGATCCCACGTGGGAGCACTCTCTGGAACTGGGAGAAGTGCCCCAAAAACCTAAAGAAGCAAAAGATACTAACTGCTCAATTCACACGTGGAATACTAAAGAGCGACAGAAGAAAAGTAACTAGACAGACCCCACCCAACCTGATGACATTTCAGAGCATAACGCTGCATGAACAAATGTGCAGGGCAGAGGTTCTACAGTGGGACACCCCTTCCTAGCGCAGGCCCCGGAGGCTGTTCACCGTGTACGGGAACTCACTCGGCGAGGGCAGAGCGCCGGTTCCCTGTGGAGAAGACAGGAGGAGACTGGGACTGCGAGGGTCTAGTGTGGATTCAACTTTATCTGTAATATTTCTTAAAAGCTTCTTCTGAAGAAAATACAGTAGTTTTAAGATTTTGGCAATACTTGGTGACGAGTACATGGACTTGTAAGTACCGCTGCTTTACTTTGGTTTAAAATATAGTGTAACACATCGTAAAAATAACTGCACAGGGGGTTACAACCCCTCCCCATTCCCGGAGTAGAGATTTAGCAAAATCAGTAGGGGTGGAGCAAGTGCTATGCTCTGTTTGGGAAAAGAACGATCCCTCTGGAATTGGCACCTGGCCCTGGATGTGACGCTCCTCCTCTGTGCCCGCCCGAGGCTGCCTGTCAGAGGTAACAGCGTGCAGTACTCAGCACAGACCTTCTCCAACAGCACAAACCACGGGGACTGCACACTTTGCTTTCACACTGGATTGAGCGCATTGTGGGGCGACTGGCAAAGTACGAGCATTTAAGGCAAAGCACCACTTACAATAGCCTGCATGGCCCTGGACTGGCCACTGGGCGTCTCACGCCTCATTCTCCTCAACTACTGATGCAATGCTGTTAATGCTCACCTTGCTGGGTTTCATTGATTAAATAAGAGAAAAAATTCTGAGAAGTAATTAGCACAGGGCTGGGCACATAGGAGACACTTAATAAAAGCTAATTATAATGACTACTAAAATTACTATTATGAAATTCATTAACTTACCTTCTTTGTTATGATGTTTGCTGTGAATTTCTTCGTTTGTTCTTGAGCCTGAGTTTTTGACCTAAACATACAATAGAAAATGTCATTAATGGATAATCTGAGAAGTCTTGAGAGCAGAAAGGGGAAAAAACGTGGTTTACACAACTGGCTATTTGCGGGACGCTGAAAGGAGCTGGACCGCATGTTCTTTCAAATTTCACCAAGAAGTCCGAGAGCATAGAGCTTATTCTTTTTAAAGAAGTTTCCTTTAACAAATTCTCATCCTACCATGTTTATTCTCTTTTAAATGGTATAGCAAAAGAATAATAAAATACTTCTGAATTCTATGCATTCTCTTTCCATCCAATGATCCTTCATGATTTTCTTTTTATTCAAAAATGCCAAAGTAGTCTGTCATTCTGTCCTAAGATTTCCCTTTGGTAAATCTTGTCAATTGTTCTTTTTGTTTGTTTATTTATGTTTAGAGAGAAAAAGGGAGAGAGTGAATGGGAAGGAGAGAGAGATGGGTTGATCTGTTGTTCCATGTATCTGTGCATTCACTGGTCTCATTTTTGCCGTAACCAAGGACTGAATCTGCAACCTTGGTGTATCGGGACGACACTCTAATCAACTGAGCTACCGAGCCAGGGCCTTTTGTTTCTTTTTTTACTGAGGGGAAGTCTCAGAATATCCCACAACGTTTGAAATCTAGGCTACAGAATTTCATACCTATTTAGAAAGAATGGTCATGCTGAGTGGGAACTCAAGGCCTCGGGAAAGCTCTGAAGAGCACCTTCTGGGGGCCCACAATCACCTTGCTGGCTCTGCTGGGTACACCTGAACCAGGCAAGCAGGATTTCTCTTCCTTCCTACTCAGCAGACTATGTGTGAGCTTCCAGCTACAAAATGGGGTGCTTCAATAGGGTGAGGAAAGCCCTCTGACGCCATAGCAGCCTGGTGCCGAGTCCTCTAGGAGCTCGGGACAGGATGTGGCCGCCTGCAGTCTGCAAGTGTTTACAAAATGTGTGCTCCTGGTAGGATATCAGGTCTTCAAAAATGCCTTCAGAAATACAAAAAAGAAAAAACACTATCAAGCACAAAATGGACTGTGAGAGCCACATGTGAAAAAAATATGTATATATGGCCATTATAGTTTGGTATCTTCAGAAAAAGCCTTCCAAAAACATAAAGTCAATCAATGTCAGTTCTCAAAATGAAGTCAAACCTGTTTTGTCTACAGCACTGTGATCAATTCATGTCAAAATCTGATCTGCAATGGCATCATGGTCATCACAAAGAGCAAGTTCACAGTTCTCTGAAGGATTTCATCGGCACCCACGCACTGGGTGAGCTTTCTGGTCTGAGCCACGTGGGCCTTCTCCTATCTCCTTGGTTTCACTGCATGACACTGGCCTAGATTCAGTGCTGCTGAAGGCAGAGTGACGTTTTCAGGGGCTGGTGGGGAACAACTATATATATTTCATGACATCAGTGGGTAGATTATAGCTGAATGTAGGAAAGGACAAGTAAAAATTCTGGTATGTTGAACTCAAGCGTGGAGCACGCTATCAACGGCCTCCTGTCTCCTTAAGAAACGCACAGACAACCTGTCTCTTTACATCCCCTCCACCATCACTCTCCAAACACTAAACCAAAACCACCAAAGGATGACAACAAGCCCAGCCACTACAGTGACTTACCTTCAGTGATTCGTTTGACAACAAAGGCTCTCCCTGTACTTCAGCTGTTCAAAAACAAAAATGAGAAATAAGGAAACTGAACTGCAGAGAAACAGACTTAGAGATGTTTTGGGCAGTGAGGCAGGCCTATGTTGCTAAGGGGCCGGTTGCCTTGGTGAATTATAAAATCCTGATGAGTCATTTTCGACAAGGTGTGTCTGTCACACTGTGAGAACAGAACTGACTGCTGCCTGCCTTTTTGCTCTAACGGGCGGTCCCTGAACCCACTCCAGTGCCTGTGTGCTCATGGCCTGAGGCTCAGAGGGAAGGTGGGAGACCTTTACTGATTGTTAAGCCACAGGATAACACTGGTTCATTTAAAAATAATGCCATGAAATGAAAAGTTAGATCCCAGCCCCTCAAACAGCAAAGGTCTATTTATATTCTCTGGAAACTTGAAGTACAAGGTCTACTGTTTCTACTCAACAGTGACAGACCACACATTTTTCTTTTAAACAACTTCCTTTTACGTAGTAGATCTCCTATTGAACCGTACCTAAACACAGTAATCTGAAATATAACTGCGCGAACAAAGGACCTATGAACCTCCACAGTGGTACCTTTCGGACAATTAACAAGTGGGGTGTTAATTATTTGTACTGTGAGACACACACACAAGTTCTAACTAACGCCTGTCTGAGGTATGGATCGCTCCCTCAGGGTCAGGGTTTCAACAAGCTGGCCCGAGGAACTCCGCAACCTGGGGTGCCGCACAGGCCTGGCCAGCAGCTGCTTCCGCCCTGACCGGCGCAGGCTGGCCTGCGCGAGGACTCACACCCACTGCCCCGGACAGGTGGCCCCTCTCGTTGCCTCTTCCACCTGCTGCGCACCTGCTCATCCTTCAGTATTGGGCTCCAAGAAAGGGGAAGAGACCACTGTTTATCAAAGTTCAAAACTTACATATTCTTTGACCTCCCAATTCGCTTCTATTGAAATACTTGGGGGAAACACATAGTTACATGCACATGGAAGTTCATTGCAGCTTTACTTATAATAGTAAAAACTATAAAAATTGGAGATTGCTATGATCTACAAAGAGGAAAAGGATTAGGGATTACCATTCAGCTAAAAGATGAAGTCAACCTGTATACACTGACAATGAAGGAAGCCCACACTAATGGCTGAGTGAAAAAGATTATAGCACAGTATAAATATTAGGATTTCAGGCCCTGACCAGTGTGGCTCAGGTGGTTCGACGTCATCTCACAAAGCAAAGGGCTGCCAGTTCGATTCCTGGTCAGGACACATGCCTGGGTTGCGGGCCTGGTCCCCGGGAGGGGCATGTGCGAGAGGTATCGGATCAATCGACGTTTGTCTCACACATTCATGTTTCTCTCCCTCTCTTTCTCCCTGTCTCCCCCTCTCTCTAACGACAGGTGACACTGTCTTCTCTCCTAGCGCTGCCCCAGCCCAGACTATGGTCCAGGGCACAATGTGGTTTCAGAGGCTCCAATGGTAATTAGTTTAGGGTGCACACAGCTACCAAAGCTGAATTAAAGTAAGTCTTAGGATTTTGGCCAAGAATGGTAGGACCAAGATATTTTCCTGAGATCATAAATGAGAAAGCAGTTAGCCCTGCTGTGGCTGGCCAAGGAAGATGAGAGGTCGGGCCTTTTTAAGGTGTGTCTGTGGGGAGACCAGCGAGCTTGTAAACCATGCGTTGCCTTTACTGTTCAGCTCTGTGAATGCTAGGGACTGGACGTCTACGTGCCCTGAAAATCATGTAGAAAACCTAGTCCCCAGTGTGATAGTATTTGGAGCCGAGTCTTGAGAAATGATCAAGTTTAGATGAGGTCATGAGGGTAGGGTTCCCATGATGGGATTAATGCCCCTTATAAAAAGAGAAGATATGAGATACTCTTTCTCTCTCTTTCCCTCCCCCACCCCTACCTCCACACCAAGGATGGTCATGTGAGGACATAACCAGAGAGTCTTCACCAGGAACCTGACTCGGCTGACTCCATAAATTCAGACTTCCCAGAGTCTACAACCGTGAGAAATAAATATTTATTGTTTAAGCCCCTCAGTCTACGGAATTCCTGCAAGCTGGACTAAGACAGTGAGCTAATAAATTTAATTTAAGCAAATATTTGTAGGGTTTTCTGTTACTTGCAACCAAATCACCCTGGCTCTTCTACCTGACTTGCACAGACATTTCAATGTTGTAAAAACAAAAACCAACTAGCTTATATTTGGTCACACATGCTAAGGTTCCTATTACTTTTTTTCCTAGTTAGTATGCAAATCAGAAGAAAATGTACAATAATGACTAGAGTACAAACCAGGAAAACTCTACTGTCACAGTTCTTCTCATTTCAATTTCCCCAGCCCTGTGGTTCTCAAAGTGTGATGAAGGGATCCCCGACTAAGACTTTCTATTAAGGGGTCCACGAGGTCCAAAATACAGTCATGATACTAAGATGTTATCTGCCTTTTAAATGCACGAGTACACAGCAAGCTTTCCAGAAGCCAGGGGTACCAGAGTTACCCGAGAAGACTATTATACAAATCCAGCCACACGTGTGATGCTGGATTTTCTCCATATACTTCAACTAAGGCAACAGACAGCAATAGACTGAATACAGAAACAGGTATGAGAAACTGGCTATTTCCTATTAACCTAGACTTAGAAGAGATTTGCAAAAATGTAAAACAATGTCACCTTTCTTACTAAATTTTGTTTTGGAAAATCTGGCTATTTTTCATGAAAAACAATGTTTGTTTATGTTAACTTATAGTGAGTTAGTTATACTCAACGCATATTTTATAACTTTCTCAGTTTTATTTTCTTATTTGGTAAATGTTAGGTACAATTCATACAACAACAGCTCTCTGGGGTCCTCAGTGAATTTCAAGAGTGTCAAGCGGTCCTGAACCACAGCGTTTGAGTTGCTGCCCTAACCCTTCCTGACACTGGGCACAGAGACCAGAAGAGGTTCTGTAGGCTGGGAGTAGCTCCGGCGCAGTCCAAGGGCCAAGAGTCGGGCTGTAAAGAAGTGGGCACACAAGCCGCTCACCTGCCTATTGGAAGTGACCTGCAATAATAGTACCTAGAAGGGAAGGAAAGAGCAGAGACACACTTGGGGATAGAGTGAGAGTCTGCTCAAAGCAACTTTCTATTTGCCATAATGATTTGGAGCTTTCATATTTATACAATTACCTCATTAAAACTGATTGAAACTTCGTAAGAAAAGGTATATGTTAAAAATAAAATAGCAGAGAGTTCTAACCTATTTTAAAAAGTGAGGGGCAAATTCACACAGGCTGTCAGTGTATTATTATGAACCGGCTATTGATTTTAAGCTGCAATGAAAGGTACAACCTGCTAAAAGGAGCTTACCTATTCCAGTCAGCTTTTTCCCACGTGAACTATCTGACGGTGCTGGAATTTCATGATTTTTCTCTTCCTCTGCTGGTAGAAATGTCTAAAAAGTCCAAAGCGCCATAAAAAAGAAGTTAACTGCAGTTTTTCTAACAAGAAGGCAAGACTAACCTTGAGTGAATAACAAAAACAAAACCCCAAAACCCAGCATCTTCTAACAATATACAGGCCTACTTTCAAGTCTATGCACAATTTCGAGATGAATAGATGGTAGCCTTTAAAAACAAACAAACAAAATAATCTAATCTTCTTTTTTATCCATCAGTGTCTCTCCTACTGCTTTAAAATTAAAACTCCTTCCTGCTCAGTGCCACTCCCTCGCCAGGTTCACGCTGCCCCACAGCTGACCCGAGACCACCGCAGTGCCGGGGGCTCACCTCTGGCCCTCCCCTCTCTGTCTAGAACATGCTTCTTTGACTGTAGGGTTTCCTTTCTTTTCTCTCTTGTCTGGTACACTTCTACGCTAATTGCAAAATTCAACCACAAACTCCAGTGTCCTCCTTGCAAGCCCTCCTGTCTGCCTGCCCGCCGCTCCGGCTCGGTGAGTAGAGCCCCCTCTGTGCTGCACAGGCCCCACGCTTACCACTCTCCTGCCACACATACCTGAGGGTGCCACAAAGCCAGGTGGAAAGGGGATACAGAAACTCAATTATGTATACCAACAGGCAATGATAAACTAGATTTCATTCTGAGTATGATGGGAAGCCACTGGAAATTTTAAGCAGCATAAAGCCACGACCTAATTAATGGTTTTCAGGAGAGATCTCAGGGCTGCACTAATAATTGCAGACTGAAGGGGCTGCAGAGGGAGGAAGTTCAACAGGGAGACCTCTCAAAGTGCGGCTCGGACTAGGGCAGTAACTGCAGAAGCAGAAACAGACGGACTCGTTATACTTTGCAAATGGAAACTATAAAAATGGGCAACGGAGCCCTGACCAGTGTGGCTCACTTGGCTGGGCATCATTCTGGAAAGTGAAAGGTCACCAGTTCAGTTCCTGGTCAGGGCACATGCCTAGGTTTCAGGTTCAGTCCCTGGTCGGGGTGCATACGAGATGCAACCGATCGATGTTTCTCTCTCACATCAATGTTTTTCTCTTTCTCCCTCCCTTTCCCACTAAGAAACAAATAAAAAAAAGAAAAAGAATTGGCAATGGATTAAATGTGGGGTGACAGGGAGAAACAGAGGAGATTCTTGGGTTTCTGGTTTCAGTATATGAAACCGATGACGGCATTACTTACAGCGATCACTTAAGTTCTTTGCTTTTCCCTCCACATGATGTAACAATAACGATACGTTAAGTGTCTTAAGTACAATGAAAACAAGAGAGGAATACACTGCTTAAACGCACACGTGTATACATATGGTGAGATGGCACTTACACCATTCACAGCTTAGCATACCTGATTTCTCTATCAGCCATACCTCAGTTTTCAAGCTGGCTTTCAAGTCCAATCCTTCCAAAACATTTGATGGAGAGTCTTCTTTGCCTAATGAAATTGAAAACCATCAACCCAATTTAAGAATCTGCTTGCAAAATACAATCTGAATCAAAAGGTAACAAAATGTTCTTATTTAGCGGGCCATGCCCACTTTGCTGTTTTTATTTTGCAGTCAGTATAAAACAATAAAAATGAGTATCTATGAAAATTATCAGGAAACACAGGGGTCATTGATTTTTTGAGGAGAGGGTGAAATTATTTCCTGCTGTTAAGATGGTTACCCAGAAAGAATGATACAGTATTATTTGTAGGGACATCTTATTTCCAAATGTTTTTCTACTGCAATCTGTATCATTTGTCCCTAAAAGAAAATGTTCTGGGCCACTGAGAATATCCTTGATAAAGAAGGTGATTTATGAATAGACTCACTTCACTCACTTTATGCTGACACAGCAAAATTGAACATAAAGCTAAAAACCTGTGAGGTATATGAAAGAAAATTGAGTTTTTCTCTGGTGGTGACTCAAGTCTATCCCCTGCCTTGGATCTTTTTTTTCCTTCTCTCCCGTCCTTCTCTGAGTTGTGGCTCACATAAGTCTCCAAAGAAAATCCTTCCTTTCTCCAAAAGGCTGCAGACTTTTCCTTGCTAAAGCATTTCTATTTTTGCTCCGTCAAGGAGAGGAGGGATAAAGGCGGGGCAAGGGTGGGAAGGAAGAAGTAATAGACTGCAGGAATGATTAAGTCATAAAACCTGCAGAGCATTCAATTTACCTCAGGCTAAACTCAATGGAAAATTTTAAAGTTACTTATTTCAACCCTGGGAACATTTCTTAATGTGTGCTACTTAAGCGCGTATCGTGAACAGCACTACATCACCGGCCTTAGCTTCCTGAGGGTGCATGAGATGACACCTGAGTCTGTCCCAGCTTGGGAGTCCAGGGTGCTGCGACCAACACAGCCAGGGCGGGGAAGGAGTCAACGTCCCTGAGCGCCTCAAGTCCAGCCCAGGTCCCTTTGCGTTCGCAGAGCATCCTGCGCTTCCCCCGGTTCTACGCACCTGTGCCATGAGTGCCACGGCCTCCCTGCAGTACATGGCTGCATTCACAGCTGTCTTCCCATCTTAACAATTTACCTTTGCATCCCCAGAGCCTAGCACCGTAGGAGTTGGTAATAAAGTGTCCCAAGTTGGAGGGTATACCGAATGGCTGTGCTCAGAGCCTATGTTCTGAAACTTACCAACCATTTCTAATAAGGTCATCATTCCCTGAAATCTGTCAGGAAAGAACACAGGTCACTTCTCTCTTAAACAAATTCTAAAGCAGAAACTACATCCTTTTACCTGAACACTAAACTTTTTTTTAAAAAGTGCTCCCTTGATTAAAGTAACCAGTTGGATTGAACTGACACTGCAAATCTGTGTCAGATGAGAATAGAAATGATGCTTATTTTTGTGCTATTATCCCTATTTTATATAACAGAAGTAATGTTTTTTAAAAGGCACCGAAGTACCATGCAAGTTACTTAAACTCTGTGAACCTATCTGCTTATTTGTAAATTAGGAGTGATAAAAAAAAAAAATTACGCATTTCCCAGGGCTGTTTGGATTGCCAAGAACCCGAAGGTCCTGGAGGCGCAGTAACTTGCAGCAGCCTCCTGCCTCTGCCCTCGCCGTCCTCGGGAAGCGGGGCTGAGGCCTTGGGCTTTGAGCACCAGTGTCTTTTTAGAGAGGTTGGACCTTCAAGTTTGGCAAGTTATTCTGCAACATTCTGGAACCAAAACCATGTTTTGGTTGGTTGTAAATTTACTTTCTATATAACTATCTCTGTAAAATGCTATGATTTGCAATTAAAGACATTCTCACCTATATCACCCAAATTTTCCTCAGAAGAAACAGTGCCCGCGAGGTCCCCTTCCTTCTGGAAGGATTTCACCGTGCCGTGTCCTGCTTTCTCCGCTGACGCCTGACCAGTCCATTTGCCACTGTGATCACTCTTTATGGTCAAGTCCTGTTCACACGGCGCTGCTGGCAGAGGAGCATGGCAGGCAGCGGGAGGGACCGTGTGGGAAGGAGCGATTTCTAATTCTTGGCCATGAATTTGCTGGGTGGTGGTGGTTTTCAAGTTGCCCTCAGACTCCCGCTGGGCAGGAGGAAGAGAGGGCTGCTCTGTCCCAGTGCCTCTGACATGTGGCGTGTCATCAGATAGTTTAGCACCAGTATCTGCTGCTGTCAAAGAGCGAATACTGACGGAGGAGCCCTCAGCTGTCTGCCGAGACGTCTGCTCTGGCCTTCTCAGGTTTTCAGGAGACCCAGCCCTCCTCTCCAAGTCCCTCCCTGCCGTACAAGGTGCTGCGGCGCTGTCTCTCGCTGGCCCTGCCTCAGGGCTTTTGTCCCGGCTCTGAACTGAGCTCAAGGACACACTCTTCTCTTCAGGCTGCAGGCCACCCGCTGCAGAGAGCGCACTGACCGGCGCCTTGACATGCCCTTCCCCGGTACTCACTTCTTTTTCTCCTGTGAGTGGCCCAGGGCACTGACAGCTGTCCTCGGCAATTAGGCTGGGCATGGGGACCTCACACTTGCTCACCTTTGCCGCCGACACGTCGTCCCTTCCGTCTGGGTTGTTCGCAGCCAGTGGGTTCTCTTCATGCCTGTCCAGGCCAATGACAGTCAGCACACACTCGGCGGTGCTGGTGGAGATGATGGCAGCATCACTCAAGTCCTCCGACCTCGCCCCGGCGGGCCGCTCTTCATCCTGGGGGACAGCACCCCTCATGGCTGCTTCTCGTCCTTCAGAGGTGCTCGTGGAAATCATGGTGGTGTCGCTGATCTCTTCCACGGGAGTGGCCGCGGGATGGGCTTCCTCCCGAGGGACGTCACTGGACACGGGGCCCTCACAGTCCTCCACCGAGCTCGTGGAGATGACCGCACTCCCGTCCTTCTCCTCCACGGCTGTGCCAGACTGCCCGTGGCCACTTTCTGCGGTTCCCTCGGAAATGGAGGCCTCGCACTCCTCCGCTATGCTGGTGGAAATGAGAGCACACTCATCTTTCTCCTCCTTGCTGGTCGAGGCAAGAGGACTTTCCACTTCTGTGGGTGCGCTGGGCATTGGCACCTCGAAGTCGTCGGTGCTGACCAAGAGGGGGCCCTTGGCTCTTTCTCCAGCTGTCACCACTGGCTGCTGGCCGCCAGCACACAGGGTGGTCGTGGCGCTGGAGACGGGCACTTCGCACTCCTCCCCTAGGCTTGTGGAGATCATGGCGCACTCATCTTTCTCCTCGTTTCTCACCGCCGTGAGCTGGCTCTCCTCTCCCGCAACTGCACTGGGCATGGGGGCCTCGAACTCTTCTGTGTTCCCTCTGGGGCCTTCGTCATTTTCTTCAGCTCTCAGAGCACTGGAATGACCATCCGTGTCCCTAATGGTGGTTAACTGGGAGGTGTAATCGTGTGTGGTACTGGTGGAAATCACCAAGCCTGTGCCTTGACTCTGGCCCTCAGTGAAGCAAGTCTGGTTGGTAACACTGTCCACCGCCGTTGTGGCCATGAGGCCATCGCACTCCTCATTTTCCACGGAGGTGATGACCCCCTCATCTTCTTTCTCACTTGGGGACGTGTGAGGGACTTCATATTCCGGGACAGCACCGGATACCAGTTCCTCACAACTGCCCCCCACAAGGCCAGTGGAAGTAGTGGTGCCTTCAACTTTGTCTTTGCTGGCGAGCTGACTGTCGCGTTGACCTGAAGCTGCGCTAGTCATGGGCCCCTCGCAACCTTCAGGCACTGGTACCACTCCCCCCTTTCCCGAAGCTGCGCTGGTCACACTGCTTTCCACGATCCCTTTGGCACTGGAGCAGATTTCTGCGTCTTTCATCTCCTTCTCTGCCTCACTCACACTGTGGACATTACTTTCCTGTGCGTTTCCAGTGGCAGTTCCGGCCCCTGCTGCCCCGCGCCCGGCTGCCGTCCCAATGCGACCGTCTCCTTCCTCTGCACTCTCACAAATGGGCACCTCCTCGCTTTCTTCTTCTATCCCTGTGCAGGCTGAGGTGTGCCCAACCTCATTTCCTCTTCCAGTGCTAGTCACAACACCCTCACCTTCGTCATCCTCCTCTTTGGCACCCGTGCTGGTGACAATGCCTTCGTCATCACAGGGACCGGTAGCGACCAATGGTACATTAGTGGCTTCTTTGGCTACAGTGCTGCCCATGGCACTCTGCCCAGTTTCTTCTGACTCAGAACTTATGGCAAAGCCTTCGCTGCTCTCTTCTGAGCCTGTGCAACTTGCTGGTCCCTCTGCATCTTCCTCCGTGATCCCAGTGCTGGTGACGGCACTCTCCCCCTCTGTACCGTCATTCCCAGAACCATCGCCTTCCGGGGTGGCGTTTGTTCCTGGAGGCGTGTCATTGCCCACCAGGACCACAGCTGCCCCTGTCACCATGCGCTCCTCCTGCGGCCCCGCACCAGTGACGGGGCACACCACGAAGCTTCCACTCCCCCTTTCTGCTCCTGTACACGTCACAGTCCCCTCCGTTTCTTTTTTGGGGCCCATCCTCGTCACATTTCTCTGGAACCTGTCTGCCTCTTCACTGCTTAACGACCCTTCTCGCATTTCTGTCCCAGCACTTGTTACGGCTCCGTCACTTTCGCCTTCACTGGTGAAAGTAACAGCTCCCCCGAGTCTTTCTGAATCTCTACTGGAAGAACCATCACATTTTCCTTCAGAGCCAGCACTGGTCACAGCGTCATCTTTCTCCTCTGTCACAGCACTATTGACACTCTCTTCGATTGTGACCACCTGCGCAGTCACTGGGCCTGCCGCTCGCTCTTCAGATCCAGCCAGAGTACACTCCCCACTTTCTCCCTCCTTGGTGCTGGTGAGGAAGGTTTCACGCTCCGCCAGGCCCTCCGTGACCACCCCGCCACCTTCCTCCGCTGCGGCAAACACAGTGCACCCGCTGGCTCCCGCCCCCGCGTGGAGAGCCGTGTTTCCGGAGCCCCCCGTGAGGCCTTCGTCCGCTTCAATGCTTGTGCAAGGCACCGTCACCTTCCCCTCTCCTCTTTCTGAAGAAGTGGTTGTGGCATCCCCGGCTTTTACTGAGTTCAAGGGAATGCCTTTGTCCTTCCCTTCTGTACTAGTGGCAAGGGAAATCTTCTCTGCTTTGCCAGACTCAGCTATCACGTTCTCAGTTTCTCTGTTCCTTTGGTGTGAAACAGAGGGGGCAGGGTTACCTTCAGCACTGGTGTCTACCTCGCTGTTTTCGTTACTTCTTTCAACATCAGCTGACACGTTTTCTACTTCATCTGAGCCTCTACTGTGCTCCAGTTGAAGAGTTTTAGCATCTTTTTTGGTACTCAGGCCTACGGTGCAGTCGACAGAGATGCCATCTTTTTGGCCATTTGCTATCGCATTTCTACCTGTCTGCTCTGAAGTGGGATATCTACTTAAGTCACTTTCTTTCCTGGCCATGTCCGCCAAGCCACATTCTTTGTTAACATTCTCATTTCCCATAGCTGTGTCTGTTAACTTGCTATCAAGAGGCACGTTTCCTTTCCCTTGTTTACTATGCATTATGGTGGCCTGGGAACCTTCTGGAATGTGTCTTTTGCTATCTAGGCTTGCTTTTGCCAGCCTATCTGCTGTGGAAATTGCACCATCTTCTTTGCTGTGACTTGTCCTAGGGACTTCGGATTCCCTAACAGTCAAACTTTGGTTAGGGAGGTCAGAGTGGTCCCCCAGGCAGGTGCTGCCTGTGCCACCTTCAAAAACAGTTCTGTCAACTACAGCAATCACATCTGCATCATGAGATTGTTTCTGAGGCACAACAGCCACCGAACTTAAGGAAGGTGAGGGGTCTAAGTTTGTGGAATGTTCAAGAACAGCATCTCCTTGAGTCACATGCTCTTCAGCAGGTCTTGTGTGTTTCAAGTTCTTTTGTGCCCTGTCATTTTCTGGTGAAGCACAAGGCAACATTCGATGACTGGCTTCAGAGTCTGCATTTGATTCCTGAGTTCCCTGTTGAGTGGGTGTTTTCTCTCTGGGGTTTGGTCTGGACGCAGCACTTTGGATATGTACTTTCTTGGTCATGGTGCTTTTATGATCAGCGTGCTTTTCGGAATTACCAGCAACCCCTGTTCCACGTCCCGATTTATAGGCTGGAGCAGCTGCTTTTGCATCCACGGTGGAAGTTCTTACTTCATCCTTTAGAACCGTGCCTGCTGTTTTTTGTTTCATCACATTTTCAGAGTCAGCGTCTTGCTGAGAACTATTACTGCTGCTTTCATGGGTTTTCGATACTTCCAGTACATTTTCAACAGCAGGTTCAGAATCAGTTTCCATTGGCTCTTGTTCAGGGATCTTTGTGGTATCACTACCTCTTTTTGGTCTTTGAAGGGAGGAACTACTGAGAGAGCTCGAAGTATTTGCTGCTAATTTCTCTTCTCCTTTGGCCATTTCTTGGGATGCACTTCCTTTTCGATTTTCACATGACCTTCTGCTTAATTTCTTTTCAGTGACTGAACCATTTCCTCTGGCCTTTTCATGATTACCATCAAGTTCTTTACTCTCCTTGTCATCCGATTTGCTATCTTCCTTCTTTTTCACGTCCTTATTACTATGCTTTGAGCTTCTGCTTCTGTGTCCATCTGATAACTTTCTCTCCAGTCTGGAGGAGGTTGAATCCTTCTCGCCCTTACATCTGTCCTTTGCTAGCAGCAGCTTAGCTCTGTGACCAGAGTCCTTCTGGGCACCGTGGGCTGAGGATGCTACATTCTCTAATGCAGGTTCAACACCAGCTTCCTCAGAAGGTTTGTCTTCAGCTTTCGACTTTCGTTGTCTATCTGGGTCATTTTCTTCTGAGTTCTTCTCCTTTTCTGATTTTGAAGTGGTTGTCTGTTTTGTGACACCCTCTTGTAATTCTGTTTCAACAACTTTTGACTGTTTGCCTTGACTTTTTGACTTAGACCTGGACACAAGTTTCTCTTCTAACAAGCTCTTTGTTCGCCGCTTCTCCTTGTGAAAAACCTCTTCTGGTTTTGAATTACTGTCTAAATTAGTCAAGTCCGTGTCACACTTATCCTCTGAATAACTTTCACTTCTTCTCTGTAATGTGGTTCCATGTTGCTTGGAACTCAGATTATCTTTCTGAATTTTAGAATCACTTGATCTTCTTGATTTGTGCTCTACCTTAGTTTTGTCAGTCGACAGGTGTCTCTCTTTTTTGTTTTCTTTACGAATATTTTCATCTGTTTTTATAATATATTCTGAAACTGGCTTCCCATCTCTGCCTAAAATTGATAACTTCCTTTCATTCCTATGTTTACTTTTTCGTTCGGCTTTATCATCCAAAGAAGGCTTAGTCTGTTGACTTTGCTTTTGAACGCTTTCATCTACTTTTAACCCTTTCTCAGAAGAGTGAAGCTCAGTCTCATCACTGATTTTATGCACACTGTCCCCTTTATGTTTATGCTTCATAGACAACTTGTCTTCTGACACAGTTTTTTCTTTTTCAGGCTTTTCCTTGGAAGATTTCGTCTCTTTCTTAGGGAGGTTTTTCACATGTGCTGTTTCAGAATCATCTTTCTTTAGGTGTTTTTCATTTTTAAGTGTGCTTTTCTGTTTCTGCGGTTCTTTGTCTTCTATGCCCACGTCTGAACGTTCCCCTTGCTTTTTTCCATCTCGTGTATCAGTCTCTTCTTGTGCCCCTTCCACCACAACAGGGGTAGATGTCCGCCTTTTATGTTCTCTCTCTAGTTTGGATTCATTTTTGTTTTCATCCACTGAATGCAAACACTCTGAGAGTCTCCGAGTAGTTTTACTTGCTTCACTTTTTGTATGGACATGCTTCAAATCCTTTGAAGAAGATACCTTTTCCTTTTCACAATGCTGTAAGAAAACAAAGGTTAAAATATGAGAAACTCTAAAGGCAACTTTTATATTCAAATTTAACATCTGGGTGCATTTAATATGTTGAGTGCTGGCACATATTTTATACCTTACTCTTTGTAAGCAATCTGTGGTTGGCATTATTAACTATATATTGTGCACCAGGAAACTGAAGTTCAGTATGGTTCAATAACTTGACACCCAGGCAACGAATTTAGATGATCTCAGCCCAAGTCCAACTCTTCCCACTATATTGCAGTAATCTTTACAGAGACTAGTTACTTAACTCTCACTCGCTAAAGCCCACAAATGCCCAGTAGTCCGTTAATAAATATAAAATCAAGGAATGATACTCCAATGTTCTTTTCAGTCCAAAAGCATGATGAAGACAATTTAAAAATTTACATTTACATAAAGATTTCCAATATTTTAATTTAGACACCAGAAGTTTTTAGGGAAACCTCATGAAATTAGGTTACTTGTTGGATAATCTACTTAGGAAGTTTCAAATGCATACAATAATTCACAGTAACTACATCATATAAAATTTATGTGTATGCAAGGGGAGATACTCAAGAGACGACAGCATCTAAACTTTCCCTTCTACATGCCAGTATGACACAGAATAGATTACTAATGTTAATAAGTAGATGCTGACCAAACATACTCTCATAAAGACTCACTGACTACTAGCTGTAATTATTCTTATACAAACAATGGGCAGAAGTTCTCAGAAAGACCGCTCTGCCCCAGGGTCAGCTTACCATGGTACCTCCTTCCAATGTAACCCAAAGACTTATATACTTATACTAATATAGAGACCAAGACAGAGAAAAGTCTTTAAAAAAAATACTTTAAAATTAAATTCCTCAAAGAAAAAACTAAAAAGGGTTTCATCAACCTAATTTTGACAATTTCGTTATTGCCAAAGTAAGAAACAGCGTGGGTGAGGGAGTGTGAAGTAGAAAAGTAGTTACTATCTAGATAAATAATCACATGAATCAATTTGCCAAAATGAGGAATTCAGACCATAATAGGATAGGGGTTAATAATGACTGTGAGGGGTTTCTATTGAACTTGGAAAAGATCCAACTGCATATCTAAGTGTTACTCCAAAGGTTCAAATAGACTCTACCTAACAAAAGAGCATGTAGAATGGACACACCTCACTGGTTTTGAGGGTTTCTTTGGAATCTTCTTCAGCTTGCTGTTTCTTTTTAGAACTCTCTTCAACATTCCTACATGGGTGAAAAAGTCAAACATGAACTTGAATAAAATATAAGAAATTTTTGGGAAGGTTAAAAAAAAAGTTAGCTTTTCTTTTCTATAAACACGTGATCCATAAATGAAGTCTCATTATATGTCAATTGAAAATCCTTTTCTTAGTCAACAGAGAACACAATCCCAAATGTGACATGGAGTATCCTTGGAGCAATAGGAAAGTATACTTGAAATGGAAATTCCTGAATTGTTGCTTGAAATTGAATACTTTGTGATCTATAATTACATTTTGAAAGTCTTCCTATCTTTTGAGTAAACAGGGTAGTCTTATTGATTCAGATCAATAGGAATGAAGCATGAAAAAATTGAGAGCTGACTTATTTCAGTTTAGCAAAATGTTGATTCAGGTGTCTTGAAGTCATAATAAATTTACATAATTGCATCTCAGTGACATAGCAAATTGTAGCCCATGGTGACTTCGTAGCCACGCTGTCTCTTCAGCTTTCTAATTCTTATAGGACTAACTATGATAATGCAGCATTAAAAAAGAATTTGGGTTAGACATCTGGTTTATGGGGAAAAGCCTGGGACACTGGTGAAGAGAACTGCCTGGGAAGCCTGGGAGATGAACGCCATCACCGCAAGTAGGCGATTACTGCGTGTTCAGAGCGGAGCTACTTCCTGAGTCTTCCCAGGCAGCCACACACACACCCTCTGAAACTCCGGGGACACTGTTTACGCACGTGTATTTCTCTGGGGAGAGAATCCAAAGCTTCCCACAGAGGTCTGGATCCCCCCCTCAAAGAGTAAGTATTAAGATTAACACATGAAATATTACAGGTATTAGCAGAATGAATTAAGATACAAGGAATGAAATTCTCAGGTCTTTAGTAAGAATGCAACAATGTACACATTCAAGGTCTGGCTCTTGACCAATCACTTTCAGTGCTTCTCTCCTGAAAGCATTCCGGGAGAATGTGACCATGGGGGTGTTGCCAGGAAAAACATGTACCTTGAGTCTTTTTTTCTTTTTTTGCTTAAGGCTACTTTTTTCTCTAAAACTTTCCGTTCTTTAAGGACTTCTTTAATTCTGGGGGCTTTAGGTTCCAGATTCTTTGTTGATGGTTCTTCTAAGTCCACAGTATTTTTGCCTGGGGGGGGAAATCAATAAACTATTTCACAATAGTTCTAAACAGTGTAATATTTATTTTTCATTAAGATTTTCTAATTACTGTAAAAATGCAAAAAGGCTTTAATATCAAATTGTGCTAGAATAAGAATAATATTTTAGATGAAGCAGACTTGCCTTTTTATGTCAAATGCTTATACAGGCTAATAAGAACAGTAATAAATAATACAAGTGTTAATAAGTAAATACTACAAGATTAAACTGTTTTGTGCAATACAACTATAAAGCTATTTTTGCTTCGCCCTGCACATGTGTGTGTATTTGGGTATTACACAGGATCAGTGTCCAGAGGAAATTCAGTTTTGTTTAATGAAATACTGCAAATATTTGACATTTTAACTAACATAAAGCACACATTAATTCCATTAATATTACCAGCACAGCTGGATTACTCACTTGTTAACAATCCATTTTCCAGTAATAATTCATTCCACAGACACTGGAAGATAAATTGCTAACATGTGAGTTCTGTAAACTGGTACCTGATAGAAAGTTTAATTTAGACACAGCAATATAATTTTTAAAAAGTGACCAAACACATCAGATTAAAAAGAAAAACCTTCCACACCTGAAAATAGATACTTTCTGAAAAATATAACAGCTTTGCCCTGGCCGGGTGGCTCAGTTGGTTGGAGCGTCGTCTCATATACCAAGAGGTTGCTGGTTCGATTCCCGGTCAGGGCACATACCTAGGATGTGGGTTCGATCCCTGGTTGGGGAGCCTATGAGAGGCAACTGATCAATGTTTCTCTCTCACATCGATGTTTTTCTTTCTTTCTCTTCCTCTTTCTCTAAAAATCAATAAACATATCCTCAGGTGAGGATTAAAAAAATACATAAAACAGCTTTACTGAGATATAATTTAGATTGTTTTATTTTATAATCAAATGTCATAATATAAATTTCTAGAAACTAATGGAGTATATAAGATGGTTTAAAATATTAAAGTTAACATCTCCTATACCTTGACTCTTAGCTTTCGATGTCTTTGTCTTTTCTGCTTTCTGTTTTCGTTTTTCTTCAAGTTTTTCTCTATTAATTTGCCTTCTTAAAAGCCTCTCTTCTTTTTCTTTAGCCTAAAACCACAAAATACTCACAATTATTGTGATTATCAGGCAAAAGCAAAACATTTTGGAAAAAAAAATGTTTCCCCTTCAAACATTTTTATAAATTAACAGACTGCAAAAGTGCACCCATATTACATAATTTGGAAACAACCAGAATAAATGAGACAGATGTGAACATTTTCCTTTGCTCTTTCAGAATGCCAGTAGGTTACAGAATGGGAAAGGTATCATTTTGAAAAATGGTGGTTTATGAAACTGCATGCCACAAGTAAAAGGATAGCTGTGAAAATATCTACAAGCATCAGGGGTGCAAAGTAGATTTCCGTAATATTTGCATTACTCTTAAAGGAGAAAGTTAAAATGCGATTCAAGTGACAGGCTAGTCCTACAAACAAATGTGGCTTGTTGGTTGTACTCTCAGGACCCAGGTTTTAGATGTGGGACTGTCTGCCGTTGAATTTTAAAGCCACAGAACATCCAGTCATTGGGTTATTCCCACTCCCCCTTTGTGGCCACAACTCACTGTCTCAAAGCGCCACAGCCATAACGCCTGATCAAGCAAACTTTTCAAGAGTTAAGCCACTTTTAGCATTGAGTCTATGTCCTTCAAATAATTTTTCTATGTAATAATATTTCCTTGTTCTGAGATGCACTTTTCATATTTTAATGTTTCTGAAATTTTAAGTAATCGTAAATCTGATAGGTGCATACAATAAGGAAGCAGTTTTTTTTCCTACAAAGCTGTTGTTAACCCAATCACACATCTTATAATTAGAAATATTTTCAAATCTGTATGTGGACTGTACTTCCCTCTCACTATTAGGTTCATAGCTTTATACAATAAGCTTGCTTCATACTTGATTAAAACATTTCCATACTTGAAACACGCAGGTTGTTATCAGTTTTCACTATTAATTATGATAACATGAACACCTCTGTCACATGTTTATGTCTATTTTGCCTAGTTAAATGACAAGGCTCCTGAAGGCAGAACCTATGTGTTGCTGTTTCATATGCTCACCAATAATATCCTGCACTCAAACTAGACAAATTTGTCAACCTGATTTAATGTGTGAATATAGTAACAGATCAAGTATGACTTACAATGGACTGCCGCCGTTGCTCTACAGTGAGTTCGTCATCGGAATCACTGTAATACTTTGAGTAAAGGTACGGTTTGTGAACATATGCATGCCGTCCGCTTTTTGCTTTTCCTTCACTGGCATCACAGGTTTGAGTTTTTGTTTTATTTTGTTTGTTCTTCTCTTCATCTGGAAGAAAGTCAAAAGAAAGAAGAATGTCCCTGTGAATTAGTAATAAAGTCAACATTATGCTTGATCAACATCAAGCAGCAAAAGCAGTATCAATGTAGCTCAAGTGTATTTGTAGGTCAAATAGGAAATATCACTATGTGAAGATGCAGAAGTCTAGACATTTTCAAAGCCCAGAATCCATATCTTAATTTATTTCTTAACAATCAGCTTCTTACGCATAAAGATGATAAAGAAAAAATTAAACCTTGTAGTTATTTATGTTTTCTTTGCAAAGAGTTAATTCTCATTTGTTATGTTAGTGGACTTGACCTAACCACTTTACCCATTAAATTGAACCAATGTACTTGAAGCAGTACCTTAAAGTAAACCAGAGATTTGAACAACCACCCATGTATCTCTCATTTGTGGAAGATGCAACAATCAATAACTGGCCCCACACCAAGCTAATGCTTAAACCTCTCCACCTTAGGGAGGCAGATCAGCTTCCCCTCATGACACAGCAAAAAAAACTGAAACAAGGTTTTCATTTCCTACCAGTTGGTACTCTCAAAATAATAGCGACCTTTTTACCTTTTGGATTCCATACATATAAACTCCAGCCTTGCCCAGTTACACTTGAAAAGACCCCAAAAAGCATCTAGAATTAGATTTTCATTTACACTAGAAATAGATCTGTAGTACTAAAAGCTGCTACTTTTTCTCTCTAGGTATTCTACCCAGAAGCCAGGATCAAATTCATAAGATGCTATCTATAGGAAACTGCAAGCAATACTCAATCTTATTGATTTTTTAAAAAGTCATAAACAGAATTAAATCATGTGGTAAAAGGCAGCATGTGGTGTTGGTTAGAAGCCCAGACTCGGGTTTGAAATAGACCCTGGTGCTCACTAGCCACAAAGGCAGCAACCCTCGGGGACTGTTTCTTCACCCGGATCTGTTTCTCAGCATTGCTGTGAGAATTACAGGGAGGAGTACAAAGAACAGAGCAAACACTTAGTACAGGGCCTGGAATATAGTATGTACTTAAAAAGGGCCAACTGAAAAATGAACTGTATGGTAAAGAGAGGTCCAGTCTTTGCCCTCGGCTTCTGGGAGGTCATCTCTAAACCTCTGGAATGCCAGGCCTGACAGAGGGTTCTGTTTGCCTCGGGGTCTTGTGTCGAGACAAGTCGCCACCGGGCGTCATTCCGGGTGGGGGCTTTGGGTCATGGAGTACCAGCTTGACCTCCACAGGGGCAGGAGACTGAGACCCGTGGCACGGACAGTCGGCTGTGATGCCCCAGTGGGGGCCCAGCAGGAACTCTGGACATGAAGACTCGGGTGGGCGCCCCTAAGTGGCAAAAGCCGTGCGCGCTGTCAGACAGCAGGGCGGGGGGGGGGTGCTGCCCACGCCCGCACGGCGGGAAGCTGTCTACAACCTGCCCAGACTCTGGCCTATGTACCTCCTCCCCTGGCTGATTTTAATTGGCGCCTCTCAGCTGTCATAAACCGTCAACTGAGAGTTTAACAGATTGTAGTGAGCACTGGGAGTCCTTTTAGCAAATTATCAAACCTGAGGGTGGCCTTGGAAACCCAAGCTCGCAACTGATGTCAGAAGTGAAAGGAGTCTTGTGGACAGGACTCTGACACTCCCCCCCCCCAAACACACACACCTCCCCCCGCTTTCGTATACATTATCTCATCTAAACTGAATCATAATCCTAGGGAATGGTAATAAGAGATGCAGAACCAAGGCTTGTTGAGGTTTAGTAACTTACCAAGCTTGTTCAGACAGAAAACCTTGGAGCTGGGACTCAGAAACAATCTTCCAGCTACAAAGTCCCATGCTCTTGCCACTATACCATACTGTCTTTCACGATAAAGCCATCTGAATATACAAATAATGCTTGGTGGGAAGCTTCACAGAGGCATTATTAAGTAAAATGCTTTACCATCTGATGTAATCTCTCCTTCTTCCATGCTATCAGACATTACAACCTCCTCCTCAGTGTCTTCTTCAAAAGATGAGAGGTCACTGGTATGGACAGAGCTAACTGTAATGTCTGTAAGTCCATCCACATCAGAGTCAATCACAGAGCAATCTTCAAGATGATAAAACACAGAAGATAAATCAGATAAATCATCCTGTTGCAAGAACAGACTCAGCACCCAATTCCCAAATTACATTTGAGATTTTCTGCTTTAAGTATATTTCAAAGAACTTCAATTTTAGAAATAAAAATCTCTCATTAGCAACCAATATCAAATAAGGTAGAGCTCTTTCCAGAAAATACAAAGGCAAACTATCATCCAGTAAAAATGATGAAAGTATTAATTTATGATGTGAATGACAGAAACAAAAGCAAACTTTCAGCAACTATTTACTATGTAATATTTTAAAGATTAGGATATATGCTGATAAATGAAGTTGCTTGAAATAATGTATAGCAATAAATTTTAAGAGTTAAATTATAAGGTACAGAGCTTTTCTGTTCATCTACTTTGTGAATTTGTACACTAGAATAGAAAACAAATACACAAATGTTTATTACCCATTTCTTTAGCAAAGTAGACATAAGTTCTCAGCCTTTTGAAATATAAGAATCAAATTTATTAAAATTTGAAGGCAAATTTGATAATCCCCCAATGGATACTCTTTTGTTCTTTAAAGTGTTGTAGACTTTTGCAAGTCTTTACCTTCTTTTGTTCCTTCAGTGGTTTTAGCTTTATTACTGTTCTTTTCTGAAGGAGCTTTTGTACACTCTACTTCTTTATCCTTTGCTTGTTTTTCATCTTTGACTTTTTGTGTATCTTCTCCCCTTTTCGAGTGATCAAATTTCTTTTCAGTCTTTTCCTTCTTTTCCTTCTTTCTTTCGCCTTTTTCACTGCTGTCTGGTTTCTTTTCACCTTTGTCTGATTTATTTTTTTGGTCACTGTTTTCCTGTTGAACATCTTTATTTGGCAGAACTGAACTATTACTCTCTTTTGTATGATTTTTAATTTCTTCAACTGGACAAGGGAGCTCACTAACTTCCTCAGATTTAGGGGCTGTTTCCTGGCCCTCGCCCGCGGAGTCGGGTGCAGACTTGTCTTTATCAGCCATGTCCTCTGAAGCTTTCTCTTTCTCAGTGCCGGTGTCGGTGCTTGGCTGCGACGGGAGTTTTTTGGACACTCTCTCACTGGTCTTCACGTTTGAGGCTTCTGTGGAAGCCCTGGCCGCAGTAGCTTCTTGGTTAAGAGAAGTTATGGTTTCTAAGATCGACATGGCATCATTGGCTACATTAGCACTGGGCCCAGGAGCGGGGACACCTTTGGGGGAGAGACAAGTTTCAGAATAAATTCACGCAGGCGGCAAACTCCTTGGCTGAGTCAATGCTACACGCCACTGTCATCCTTATGATGCGTATGCTGAGGAGGCCACACCTTTACACACCTTTAGACTTTCCTATACCAGTGCTAGTGCTCAGCACACTCTAATTCTCTACTTTCTAAGAGAGTTATCTTAGAAAGGCACCACACAAACCTGAGAACCATCTAGTTTCCAGGAAAATGACATCTTCTCTAGTTATTTTAATTATTCTTGCTGTTGAAACATGTACACTCCCAATAATACATCATTAAAATGTCCAATATTTTGTATTAAGGGGAAAAAAAGGTTATGCCAGTTAAGGAATTTGAGTGATATATAACACAATTTCACTACCATGGAGAGAAACGTTCTAAAAACCAAATTTCCTCAACTTGATACTCAGTTCAGTAAGAAAAACACTGGAACTGACCAAGAGCAAAAGCAAAGCACCTTGTGTAGTGACGGCAGAGTCAGGCTTTTCCTCCTCGGGGGCAGTGCTGCCACCAGCTTCCTCTTTATGGTTTAGTGTGGCCAAAAACTCGTGCACAGCTTTCTCCACCTGAGGTCTGAACGTGTGGTTGATCTTTGGATCTACAACCTGAGAAATAATGCGGTCGATACCAGACTCCAACATTCCTGATCTGAAACACAGGACAATTTACGGAAAGGTTAAAATACACACACACACACACACACACACACACACAATTTCATTATTATTTGCATTAGTTACTTTTATGTAAAGCTGTATCTCTCCAACCTTAAATTTTCTCAACCCATTCATCTGGGTAGAGAAAGAATAGGCAATGGACAGTAAATTTCACACTAGAGGCATTTAGATATACCACACCACAGAGTCTCTAGACTTTTCACCACTGCATCAAAAGAACCACTAAAGCAGGTAAAACAGAAACAAAACCACACGCAGGCCCTGGCTGGAGTGGCTCAGCCCCCAGTGTAGGGGCTGTGCGGCATGTGGAGGAGAGGCAACTGATCCATGCTGCTCTCCCTGCCTTCCCCTCTTTCTAAAACTAAGTAAATAAATTCTTAAAAAACAAAACAAAACAAACCTATCCTCAGAACTAAACAAGTCCACTGCCTAGAACCCAGGTTTACAGATGATGCTCTTTTCCAGATCCTGCCCGTAGCACAGAGAAATAAATGAGCATTAAAGCCAAGCTCTGGGTATACAATAAATCAATGGGTTCTGCACCTCTATTTTTAAACAGGAAAGTGTAAGCCTTTTATAAGTATTAGAGTCTCCAGGAAAACTGCAGAATATAATTTTATCAAAAATATAATTTAAAGAATTAATTTTAACAAAAAGAGGACAACTTTAGAACAAAAATAAAACAAGATTTCTGACTTTCTTTTTATTAACTTCTTGCTATAAAAAAAAATTAGATGATTTATTCATTCAACAATTATGTCACGAGTACCTTCTATATGAACAGGCACCATGCTGGCCACTGGGCTGCCATTAATCAGACCTGGCCCCTGCTCTAGTGAGGAGATAAGACACAAACAACTAAAACAGGAGGTGACAGGCACTAGGACACCCTTGTACTGCAGGAAAGGGGTGGAATAAGGAATGGTGAGATATCTGAGAATACGAGGAACGCTTCACAAAGGAGGAAACATCTGGGCTAAGGCTTGATTTCCACAAAAGAGAAGAACTTATAGAAATGTCACAAACAGGAGATGGGTGAGCAAACGGCAACAAAATCCCAAATGCGCAGAAAATCACAAGGGTGTGTAAGTAAGATAAGAAGACGTGAATTTATTTTAAGAAACACGCTTAAACCTCGCTTCTTCCTAAAAAAGGGCTTGAGAAGTTGGCTGGGTCGTGCTGGAGGAACGGGTGCTGGTCCCGCCCAGCTTCCAGGGCTCAGGCTCTCTCTGCAGAGGGGGTGCGGTGTCCCTCCTTATAACTTAGATGCTATTTCTGAGTGCAGCTCTGTCTGCAGTGGAGGGTGAATCTGACTTCCATTTCCTGAGGCACCTTGCAGGCTTGTTATACTCTAATGCTACTTATGTGGGCCATAGAGAAAAATGATTCGGTTCTTCACGAAGTAGGTAACCTGCTTTTTAAAGTTCTAAGATTAAAAACAAAAATGCAAATCCTGCAAACATTGCTACATCTTAGAGGTGTCTTTAAATGTAGCAGGTGAAAGAGAAACAAGGACAAGCAATCTGAAAAATGTTTTTAGGCACAAGTATAAAGGCATACAATAAAAAATAAAACACATCCATCCAAAGTGACTCCTTCAGTCTGTCTACACTTTGGACTACAAAGTGTCTGGCTACACTTTGGCCTGTCTCCCACCCCAGGCTCCTCTCACAGGGGTCAGCGCTGCCGTGACAGAACCAGGGGCTGGCACCGACGGCCGCACTGCCCTCAGCGGGCGCCCGGCAGAGGGGAGCCACTCTCAGCTCAGGGACAAGGCCAAAATGCCAGCAGCTGGTGCTGTTCTGGTTAAAACCAATTCCTTGTCTTCCTTTTAAGTACTGTAAAGACAATTGTTTCTGAGCTATTCAGCATTTTTAGGTTTTGTTGTACAAATGAAGACATAAATAAAATAAGATTTCCTCCATATTGAGCCTGCAGATTAGCTATTAAGCTGAACCATCCGGAATTGCTGGTATTAGATTGTTTTTGCTCTACAAAAACGACAACTGTAGAAGGCTCAATAGAACAGATTCAACTGTTTCTCAAAGTACATGTATTAAAAACTGTTTGACATTTATCAGGGCCAGTATATCCCTATACCATTTGTTCAACACAACCAAATAGTCTCTTTAAGGTAGCTTTAAAATGTAAGAGAAAACTGTATTAATAGAATTTAAGTAAGACGATAGTTCATTAAAAATAAGTAACACAGCCAGAAGAAAACGGACACACGTCCCAGGAAGAGCACTGACTGGCTTCTGCGCAAGAAAACAGCCTCCCGCCACCCTCACCCACAGGCCGAGGGCTCCAGGGCTGCTCCCAGACAGTCACGGGACCCTGCACTGAGCGGGCCGCGACCCCTCCCCAGGCACCGACTCTGTGTGAACAGTGCCTCCTTGCTTGGTCTTACACAGGTAAGGCTGAGAATCTAAACCACTGAGTTTAGTTTCTGTAAAAGAACAGAATAAATGGCTGCTTCCCTACTTTACAGGTTTTGTGTGCTGAGGAGGAAATGCAACTACAGGAAACTGGCCTTTCATTTAGTCTTTCAACTCAAAGAAAAAGAATGCAAATGTGCTTTTAAAGCAATGTCATCATTTGTGAAAGGGAGGCGACCACGTACACAGTCCAGGGAAAGCACAAGTGCACAGGTTGACAGTTTGCCTCCCCCGGCCCCTGCCCCCCAGTTTGGTTATGGTTTCTCCTAAATGCCTGGGAGTGAGTAAATTTCTAGGCCTGTCAACCCAACAGACCCCTTCGGCCTCTTCTTTTTCAGGAAAGGCTTTGACTTTTCCCTACAGGTATTATCATGCAGCCTTCTGAAGGCATCTTTTGATCTCACCTGGACTCTATACAGGTTCCTCAGACATCGTTTAAAATGCAGACAACAAAGTCATTGTTAAATATCCCTCTTCTCTTCTTCACAAGGAGACAGTCTGGGGCCCGGGCTCCTGGTTTCTAGTATCACCTGTGGCTAAATAGGTCTTTGAATCGGAGTAGGAGCTGCGCTGTGGGGCTTCCTGTGGGCCGGGGCTCTCTGTGGAATGGCAGGCCAGGCAGGCTTGCAAGGTTCCCACAGGACACGAGGCAATTAAGAGGTGGCAGGTACAAGACACGTTTGTTTAACTGTTTTATAGCAAGATTTCATTCTAAACAGTGCGCTTGAATATAAATATTTGTCAAGGCAGGAAGAGTAGGTGCTCCTCAGACAACTTAGCCATCTTTTTTGAGGGCAGAAGAAGGGACAGAAGGTTTGAGTCTTCTTGTCTTGGCAAATATTTCTATATTAGGACAAGGTAATATTGTAATAATATTGTAAATCTTCTTTTTGGGCATAAATATGATTTTTTAGTTCCTATAAACATTCCAGCTCTTCTCATTCTCTTTATCTTATGTTCATCCAAAAAAAAGTACATTTGTACTTTTTTTTTCTTTAATATCATCACTAAAATGCAGAGTTAAAATCACAATAAAATGCAAGAGACAAAACTGGCAGGCTGCACTACAGATAGAAGACACGGCCTCAAAAGTCAGGAAAAATATTTTAATTTCTGTGGTCTATGATGTCTTTATTTGCAAAATAATTATAAAGCCTTCTCTTTTAGGACCAAAAAAATGACTGTGAATGTAAATTGTATAGGATATTCTGGCACTTACAATCTATTAGTATTAGATCTAGGATTAAAAAAAAAACCCAACACATTGTCCTTCCCGTCCTTCAAAAGTTCCAAAACGCCACAGAAAAGTTGGACTGCTAAAATTTATTGGAGAAATGTGAAGTGATTAAAGTCTTTATAGAAAAATCACACTGCATCTCAATATGAAGGAGCCAAACTTCACAAAATTAGCATGAGGTGAACAAACTTCTGCATAACGTCTTTGTTTTTAGGCAAATCAGGCTGTGACATTTTGAGCCTGCCTAGGAACTATGCAATTCTGAGACTTACTTGAGTACTTGTTGTCTAATGTTGTTTCTTAGCTGGTTCTTATTGAGGTGGGGACTCCATGTATGAGTTGCTAAGTGGTTCGCAACAAAGTTGTCAACGCGTTGTCTGAGATTCTGATAAGCAGGCTAGAAAGGAAAAAAAACACACCAAAAAACAGATGTTGAAAATCTCCAATATTATACAAACAATACTGACAGTCTCAGGATTCAGGTTTCTTTAACAGTATCGACATTTCTTAGATTAGAGCATCAACATGGTAACAAAGTTTTATAGCTTATGTTTGAAGACAGGAGGAGTACAAAGAAGAAAAGCATACCTCTTATTTGTAGACAAGGAAGGGAAAAGAAGTAAGAAGCCAGTAAATGTTACTGTGATGATTTGGAGCAAAGAAAGAGAGAAGAGAAGCAGGTTTTCAGTGCGATTGTGGCATGTGAGCTGCACCTTTGAGGTTTCACAATGCAGCTGGAAATGTGAAGGCCAGGCCACCAGGCAGCCCGGCCAACAATATAAGCAAACAGCAAGTGGACGAGACGATGTGGGGTTGGGAGCATTTGTACCCCCAACCCCCGCAAGTGTTAAGTACAATTTGGTTGGAAAAGAGAATACAAAAAAGCAGAGAAGTGAGACTGGAGACAAATCACAGGGCCGGGGGCTGGATCTGGGTGCCTGCAGAAGTTTGGAATACGGGGTAGAGAACGGTAAGCCACTGCACACCTGAGCAGAGTGACGTGTGCGATAGCTGAGCTTTCCTATGACCAAGCTTCTTACAGTGAAAGCGTAACGAGACACAAAATATACCGAGCAAGGTATGCAAGAGTGATGAAGGTCCCCACTGGGGTGGCAGAAATGGACTGAAAGGCAGGAATCCTCAAGAAGCCATGGAGAGACAGCCACTGGAAGTAGGCATTACATTTGATGTCACGCAGTGGCTCTCAACCGGACTACCCCCCACTCTCACCCCAGAGGACATTTGGCACTGTCTGGAGGCAAAGGGGGCGGGCCGCTACTGGCATCTAGCAGGTAGAGGGCAGGGATGCTGCTGAAGTTCCTACAACGCACAGGGGAACCACCCACCACAAAAAACCACCCAGCTCAAAATGTTAACACTGCTGAGACTGAAAACTCCCAATGTAAGGGAAGCAGGACAGGGAACACATATTTTGTCATCTCTTCTTAAAAGACCACTGTGTGGAAGGAATGTCTGGCCACTCAAGCAGGACTGCACACTTTGTTCCCAGTTGTCTCCCACCACTCACTTTCTTCATATCCGTCTTTTAAGTGGCTTTTAATGTAGATGGATTTGAGTGTCTCCAAATGATTCTAAACAAAACTGTACAGCCTTATCTTCTGCCATTTGCTCCCTTACCCTCCAGCAGTAAGTTCTCACGCCTTTGATCTTCTGCGCCTACTGTTCTCCCTACCTGTCCATCTCGCAAGCTCTTCAACCTGCAGAGCTCACCCTAATCTGTACAGTCATCCTGACACCCAAGGGCAGGCTCCTGCCGCCCTCCTCCGCGGCCTTCCCATCTTCTCTACATGCCACCATCTCAGCAGTTCTTGCACTGCACTGTGTTTTGGGAAGGGGAGAAGTTCACCTCCCCCATGAAGTGTGAGCCTGCTCCTTCCGCTCCCCTGAACTTTGTTTTCAGGAAGCTTATCACACTGCCTGGCAGATAAGCAGTTAAAGTGTGGTTGTTAGATGAGATGACTGGGAAACCATCTCTGGAAGGGATGTAGGTTTCATCCCTTGGTGATGCCCTCGTATCCCTTCCAGCTTTCGGACTTTTGCTAATTCCTATTACCAATGCTACAAGAAACAGCTTCATGATCATATCTCATGTTCCTCTCCATTTATCCAAAGTCAATGTGAACTAAACAACGAATCCTGTCTCTTGGTGATTTCCAGCAAAACTGTAAACCATAATTCCTCTTGCCACTACCCCCGAATCTCAGAAATATGAGGCTAAAGACATCACAGTGCATCCGGCACTCTAGTCACCCGTAACAAGCTCAAATCTGAACCACAACAGGTGATTTTCTTTGTTTCCAGTTCTCCTTTCAGCAAAAAGCCTGGTGACTCAAGACATAAGGATTCCATTATTCTTCGGGGAATTTTTCTTTGTCTCCTCCTCCTCTTCCAATGTTCTGGTCAAAAGTCCTGGGAGTCTTTGTCGACTGCTCCCCTTCCCTTCCACCGCAAACCCAAGCCATTAGCGAATTCTGTCAGCACTGGCGTCACAGTACATCCAGGACCTGGCCACTTCCCGCGGCCTTCTCATCCGTCCAGATTGCAGCAATGCATCTTCCCACGTCGACCTCTACCCACCTGAAGTCTACTTTCTACACAGCATCTACTGCAAATCTTTTAAAATTAGGGCAACCATATAATTTATTGTCAAAACCAGATCATGACTGAGTGTGAAGGGGACACTATTAATAGTTACACAAGGCCAACACATCTAACATGGAAGTTAGGGCATGTTCTTCTCATGCACAACCCCTGCCAGTGGCTTCTCAGCGTTGGGACAGGCAAACTCTTCCAACGGCCTCCAAGGCCAGGCAGAGCTGCGGAGGCAGAGGGCGCTCCTGCCATCACTTTCTCCCCTGAGGCTCTTGCCTGAGGCCTTCTGTACTGTCTGAGTGGCACTCAGCCCGGGGGCTCCATCACCTCCTTCAGTGATGGCTCAAATGATCTTACTTGCAATCTTCCCAGAATTTCCTCAAAACAAATGAGCCCTTTCCAGCCTCATCCTGCTTTAATTCTTCCACAGGCTCTATCACACATTATTTATTGTCTCTTTTTCTCTGCTGGGACTGAGTACCACAACCGCAGGGACTTTTTGTTTACTGCTGTGTCCCTGGTATCTAAAACAGTGCCTAGTCCATTGTGAATATTTGTTGGGTAAATAAATTGATACACTGTTGTCTTTGATATTCCTTTCAAATCTAAGAAGAAAAAAGTAGACAACAGTTACAGTGAGGAGTCATTTACATCTGAGAATGTATCCAAAAATTAGCCTTTACTACTTGGGAGAGAGGTGTCTTATTTACTTGTTTGGTAAGCTCCCTGTCTGGGGAAGGAGGGTGGACCACTCAGCATTCCCTCCTTGCGCTCTCCAGTTGCCAGTCAGTGCAAAGGGGTCAGAATAGCTTTGAAACCTCTTAGTTTACTCCACAGACCCTCTGCTCCAGAGGTCTGGAGCAGAGGAGCCTCAGTGTTAGTTGGATCCTGGGGCTGCCCAGGGTTCCAGTGCTTTGGGTGGGAGGGCTGCTATCCTCAGATCTCTCTCCTGGCTGGACCAGCAATGACCCCGGGACAGTTTGAGGGGTCCTATGGTCTCCTGGAATGGCGGCGGACTTTGAACTTCTCGTCTTGCTTTCAATACATCAGGCTAGATGATAGTGTTGCTCTTGGAGAGCATCTGGTAGGTGTCAAATGTCTTGATTCTTAACTATGCAGGTGACTGACAATCCAGTTACTGCTATAGCCCTATATACCATACAGTACAGGTTTGGCAAAGTCAGTCTTCAGGGTTCAATTATCAAAAGCATCACACCAGAAATGGTCTAAATTCTAAGGTGTTCTCAACAGATGAAACCCAGGATTCCATTAAAGTGATGCTCCTTTGCATGAACATGGAGTCCTATTTCTACTTTGGCCCACTCGCCATATTGATAGGAATGTTAAGCTCATATAAAAGAAAATTTTGGCTTTGTATGTTTTCTGAGACTTTCAAACTTAGTATTTTTGAGAGACAGAGGCAGAACACAAGATCATACTCTGTTGGGAGTGGATCTCACTTCAGTTCTATTCTTTTCTACCATCAAACATTAAAATAGGGGACCTCATTCTATGGTCCTTGAACACTCTCTGAAATTGACACATTAGGTTCAGCCACAAGAAATTGCCAACTGAACCATTTCTGAACTGTAACAATAGCATTTTAATATGTTTATGTGCATTTTTCTTGGGAGAAGGTCCTAGATTTCACTAGCCTAAGAAACTGCGCTTCTCTCCTTTTCCCCAAGAAGGGTTTTAAGGCTTCACTTCAAGAGGATCTGGAAGAACTATCAGACAGAGCAATAACATTTAGTGGGGAATGGAGGGAAGAAAAAGCTGAACATTATATATGGTACCCCAATCAGCATATTTAAATCTTCAATTTGCATACAAAAGGACAGCTCTGTAGGTTTCTGAGGAAAACCAAGTGAACTTTCTACTTGCAGGATACAAATAACCAGCTTTATCTGGGTAACATTTATCTGGCCATATCTCTCTAATCTTCTCCCATTTAAAAAAAAAGAAAAGGGAAGGCAACACCTTATTTTCAAAAAGGTGGCCCTGCATATTCCCTAAAACAAAGGGAGAAAATTGTATACTTCCTGCAGAGATAAACATCCCAAGTAAATTGAATTCTCTGTGGTGCAAAAACTCCAATGCCCTGAAAAAGCACATTGTACTCCGGTCCACATGGTCATGGTGGTCCAGAGTTCTCACAAGGAAAGATGTTCCTAGATTTTCACCAAGGTTTTCCCAGAGGACACAGAATTGCACGCAGTTCACCCCAAAGGCCGCTGAACCCAACGTCGCAGGGAAGAATTGCTGGACACCACGGACACTCCCTCCTCAAAGAAATGAGGTTCCTCAGAACAGCTGAACATGAGAAAACCCTCACCCCATCAAACTATCCCCTGGACCCAACCAGATCTAAGCCAAAACCAACCAAACAACCCCTCCGCCAGCCCCCACACAGCCCCAAACCAAACCAACCAAAAAACAAAACAAAACAAAACAAAGCAACAATTTTCTCATCATTCCCAACTGAGGCTTCCTGCCTTACTCGCTCCCAGAGTTCCAGACTCGATTGGTTTTCCAACCATCTCACCAAGATTGCTGCTCCTTGGTGCCCTCTGCTCACTCTGCCGAACCAGGTGAGACTACCTGGTTCCTTCATTCCAACACTTGGTATTAAGCCCCTTTGCATCCCCCAGCTTTTTGGACAAAGACCCTTTTGCAGACCTTTGCCCTCTCCACCTTACTCTCCCGAACTGAACTTTTGTTTCCTGACCCTCTTCCACTTTATTAACTGCTGTCACCTGCCCTCCATCTTTCCTCCATTTAACCGCCAGGTTGTCCCCCACGGTCCCCACCCCCACCCCTCCACCTCAAACACCACTCTCACTTTGGAGAAGTGACTTGGCCCAAGCTACGGAAATCAGTCACTGGTAAACACTTAAATTCCGATCTCTTCAACCCATATTTTCGCTCTCCAGCTCTACTTTCTTACCTTTGCACCCCCCAACCCTCATCCAGAAATGCACACTACAAATAACTCGATTTAGATTATCACTTAACTTCTCCAAAGAACAAGGATATGATCCTTCCCGCCCAGAAATCTTGAAGAGCACGGATACAAAGTAAACCGCGAAAAAAAAAATTAACCAAAGACGAAAGCACAGGTTAGTGTTTCCAAACGCATCTGCACAAGAACAATGACGGAGTCTTGCTCACGGGGATATTCTCAGCGTCTAAGCAGCATAGTAGGGGCTCAGCACCCACCAGTCGGCGGAACCGAGGAACCCGCAGGCAAATGAATGAATGCACCGCGCCGTGCACAGTGCCCGGCACTGAGCTGCAGCTCGAGGAGGAAGCGGTTGCACAGGAACTCGGGGAGCGGCGCTCATAGGGGCCCCGGCTGGGGAAGCAGAGGCGCAGCCCTTCCACAAACGCGGGAGACTGCCCGAGAAGGCGGCCCTGGGGGTCCTCCCCTGACACCCGTGCGCCCCGAACCTTAGTGTCCACGTCGGCCAGGCAGTCCCTCCGGAACTGGTCGAAGAGCCCCTGGCTCTTGAGGTGGTTCACGATCATGGCCACGAGTTGCGGATCCCCCGCGCCGGCCCCCGCGCCGCCCGTCCCGCCCGCGCCCGGGCCAGCCCCGGGGCCCGGCGGTGGCGGTGGGGGCTGCGGCTGCGGCGGGGGAGGCGGCGGCGCGGGAGGAGGCGGCTGCGGCTGCGGGTTGGTGGCCATGACGGCCTGGGCCGGAGAGAAGGAGAGCCCGGGCGAGCAGGCGAGCGGGCGCTCCTGGGAGGCGGCGGCTGCACCGGTCCCGCCACCTGAGGGAGGCCAACGGGATGTTGTTACGGAACCAGCGGATCCCGAGCAACCCCGGAAGTGAAAGGGAACCGGGGGAAAAGGAGGAAAAGGCGGTGACAATAGCAACGGAGGTCTGAAGACGGAAGCCGCGAGGGGCCAGTTCCGGCCGCGATCTGCGCAGGCGCACGCGCAGGGTGGGCTGTGTCCGAGGCGGCGGCGGGAAGGCGGAGCGGTCTGCGAGGTCCGGGCGGGGGGCAGGGGCTGGAGTTCACTGGGCGGTTTCTCGGAGCGAGCCCACGCTGGGAAGGGAAACGCTGGTCCGGTGGCATTGAGGCCTGACGCTTTGGCTCCTGTTTAACGGAGCAGTCGAGATCCATGTTTATAGTGCGAACCGTACGTGGCACTACTTATTCTAAACTCTAACCGAACCCTTGTTCTCATGATCCAGCCCAGTTTTCCTGCAAACAGGTAGCTCTTGGGGCCTCCTACCTCGTCCCCGCCTTATCCCCTTTTTCCTTGGGCCCATCCTTTGTTACTTCCTATGTACCAGCCAGCTAGGACCGATCCCTCCAGCACCGTTTTCCTGCCTGTGAAGACGAACCCACAGGCTGTTTTAAGGGTTTTGCTTTTGATTCCTATAATCAGAGCAGGTCACGCTTGCATAGCATGCGCTGTGTACCAGGTTTGGCGTCAAGAGCTTTTATTGCCTTAACTCATTCAGTCTGCAGCAACACTGCACTAGGTCCCACCACAACCCTCAATTCGCGAAACTGGAAACTGAGGCTCAGAGCGATTAACTAAATTGCTAAAGGCTACAGAGAAAGCACATCGCCTGATTTGGACTGTTATCTGTAAAATATCAGTACACAAAGCAAAATAAATATTACCAATTTTCGTAACTATTAACTAGAATGTAAAGTTTATTGGAAAATGCACCTCGATGAAATAAATGGATATTGCTTTTTAAAATTCATATATCTGCGAATGAATATGTCATTGCTATAGAATGAGAAGGGTTGCAACAATTCCTATTTCTAGTTTCTATAACTGTATGCACTCAGAAACCTTGTTCATATTAAACAAGTACTGAACCTGGGGACGGAGTTTTATTGTTGAAATGTCACTCGATTCTTCATCTCAAAAAATAAGATTTGATAATCTGTGAGCTGACTATTCAATTAGGTCCTCCAGTTTTATTGAAAGCGAAGAATTGAAAACTACCTGACCTGCCAAAGGATTTTTTTTTTTTTTTTTACCTAGTCCTTACTCCTTTGGAGTTCTTTTTTTTTCCTTTCTGAGAAATGTACTAAATAGGTTTTACCAGGACATCAAATGACTCTGAAGTAGACCTTTTCCCCCCTCAGTTAGATGTACCATGTTTAACCTGCTAACACTCAAACTTTGGGGAAAATCTAAACATTTTTCATTTTCATGAAGTTTTGGATAAAATGCTTTTTGTTGTCGTTGGGTGGTTCAATTTTGTTTTGCCAAAACTTTGCAGCTCATGATACAGCTCATTCAAGGTGAAACTCATATATGAAAAATGTTTGTCATACAACCTAATTCACAGACGCCTGTTTTCATCATCAAACTAGCCAAATTGGATTTACTTTCCCTCAGAAACAGTTTGACTTAATTGCTTCAATTCCAATAAAGCATCATGCATTTTGAGGAATGTAATGAACACTGCAGAGAGGTAATCATGAAATGAATCTTAAAAGATTTATTATTGTACTAAAAGCAATCAAGATTAAAATGGTGTAAGATATAATTATTTTATCCATTTTCAAAATTAGTTATGAAAACAAGATGAAAATATGACATGTTTTCCCCTATATCTAATTACCAACAATGCAATACATGTTGCTAAATGTATGTTGTAATAAGTATGTAATATGGTAAAAGACATGGTTTTTTTTTCTATGTATATAGATGTATCAGATTTATTTGGATTTTTGGGAATAACTAAGAATCATCCATACAAATTCAGCAAAATTCCACACATTCAACTAAACATAATGACCAAACCTTTAGTGAAACAGAAAGGTATTTGCTCCTAAAAATGAATTGGTCCAGTGACTAGAAAATAAATTTTATGTTTGTGAACAGCATATAGAAAATCTTAAGTATTTTCAAAGCTGTAGTATGGTGAGAATTGATTATAACATAAATAAATAGATAAATCCCAACTGATTTTATAAAGTGGATGTTAACAGCCTTATTGAATAACACGTACTGAATAAATGAAAGAAATAATGTAATAGTTTGTCCATGAGTTCAAGCACTCACCGGGCACGCGCATATCCTGGACATAGTATAGTTTGAACAATTTTGTAGCCTTAGAAAATATTCTAGTTACATAGAGAAGAATTGGACAGAAGGCTCCTTCTCTTTTCTATGCGCAGCCTTGCGCCCTGCTTCCCCGCATCCAATCCAAACCCTGTTTCCTGGGACTAATCCAGTGACAGTCCAACAGTGGCTCACAATATGGTGATCTCCTAACCCCAGGGAGCCCACCTGGTCTTAGGCTGTTGTTTGTTTCCTTTCCCTCAGGTCCGGCAGGGAATCCGCACTCCCAATCGTGCCCTCGGCCCACCGTTTTGTCCTCAAAGTCTGATGAGTATCATTTCCTAAATGACTTCATCAACTCAAAGCCCAGATGGAACTTTGGTAGGTCACTTTTTCCATAATAACGGAAAACATTCTTAGGTGGGGCTGAAACCGTGTAAGAGGGTGGGGGAGGGGAGAAGATGCATTATTTGCCTTTGCAAAGCAAACACTGTGGTCTTGGCCATTTAATTATTTCTTTCGCAGAATAAAATAGCTGAAGTTGGGGATGGTGGTTGGGCGGAGCATTGCACAGTTATTAATGGAGGAAGGTAGGTTGCTTTTCCCCAGAAAGCACTTGAAGGAATTGTCACTGTTCTGGGGTCAGGACATGGAGAAGAGGGTGGCACCGGGAGTTGGCAGGGTGGAGAGGGGCAGGGGTGGTTCTGTAACATTTGGCAGAGGCTGGAACCCTCCTCATTCCCTGCCAGCCTGAGTGCCCGAAAGTAAGGGTGTAATGGTGCAGCGAGGCGCCCCCAAGGGGGATTGGTAAGGGGGTCTAGAACTTGGGGTGTTCAAGAAAAATATAAGATATCCCCCCGCCTCCACAAGGCGGGCTGCCAGGGTGGATGGAAGAGAGGGAGCAGGGCCGTTGAGAGTTACTTTGAATATCAATAACAGGCCATCAGGGCCATTGAGAGTCGTTTTGCCTGTCAATAATAGCAGGATCGGTTTTTAAACCTCATATGCAAAGACGATTATTTTGCATATCAACAAGGCTAACCAGTAAGGTTTGCATAACATAAACCCAGGAAGTAACTGGGCAGTAGGCCCCGGGGTTACAGTGCCTGCTGAGGGAGTGGAAGATGGGGTTCCAGGGAAAGAGTCGCCGCAGGGTTCAGCGAGGCGCGGCAGCTGTACCAGAGGCTTTTGACCACGTGGTTTTGGGGAGCGGAGTGGGGGCTCCCTTGACCACACGGCTTAGGAAGCAGTAAAGCAAGATGTGGCTGCCACGTAGAGCAGCTCCCCGGTCGCAGAGCGTGTGTGAGAGCTCAGAGGTGGTTTGCTGCACGCCGCGGGGGAACAATGCGAAGACCACGAAGGAAGGAAAGGGGAGAAAGGACTCTTGCTGGCGGGCTATGAGAAGGTGCCACATGGGTTTAGATTGAGAACTGGAGGTTGTGAGGACACACCAGATGATGCTGGAAATAGCAGGAGGCCTACCTACCTGAGCTCTGGACTTCCGTTCTTTTTTTTCCCGAAGGATGGTACCCCTGACTAGGCAAAGTGGGGGGAAGGCAGGACTGTGTGTGTTGGTGGGTGTTTTAAAGGGATTTTGAGATTAACGGCGACGTTTAGCTCTTATTTAAAACCTGTATAACTTTTGAATAAATCCTTTTCACCAAACTCTACTATTGAGAGCCATAATTTTTAAGGGCGGCGGGCAAAGAATCTAGAACAGAGAGACCCCAGGGACCGGGGTGGGGGGTATTGTTCCCGTAATACCACTGGGGCTCCCCCGCAACAGGTCCACACTCGGTAACGGGCGCTTTGGAAATGGTAGCTGTGTGAACATGTGTTGACCTGGAGCTGCTGCGGCGTCGAAGAGGGTGGCTGAGTGCCAGCTGGTTGGAAAGGGAAGGTGGGTTTGGGACGGGAGAGCAGTGACGGCAACAGAGACCTCGGATTGGGTTTCCTAAGCCCCTGGGATATTGGAGCAGGAACTCTAGAGGAGGAGAAAAATTCTGATACGGGGCGCGGAGGGAGGCTTTCTGGTGAAGTGGGGCATATCAATTACCTTAGTATTCATCCTTTATGTAAAAGGAGAGTCCTATGCAGGTAATCAGGTTTGTCAAGAGCAAGAGAGCATCCCTTAAAGGAGTTGCTCACATGTTTGTCTTTCCACAGTGCCGGGTCTCTGAGGGGCGACTCTGCAATAAGCCAGTCCAGTCACACGCAGGTTACCCACAGAGGAAGGGAGCGGAGGAGATAGAAGTCAGCAGAGCCAGCCTCTGGCTTGAAGTCCCGGTTTCATAGCCACACCCATTGGGTTTAGTTTTCAGTCCATGGCTGCTTTTGCTGCAAGGCCAGAGTTGAGACAGACTGTATGGCTTGCAAAGCTGAAAGTATTTACCATGTGACCCTTCCTAGGAAGAGTTTGCCAACCCTGGGCTAAAAGGAGCAGCAAAGGTGTGGCTGTGAGCCTGTGGAGTTGGGAACTTCTACCTTTAGTCGGTCACAAGTTGCACGTCTGAACAGTGGAGATAATAATGCCTGATTCACAGAGTTGAAAGGAATAAGCCAGATCATATAAATGACAATGGTTTTTTCATATGCTGTGCAAATGAAATTAATTATTAAGAATGGGTGGAGTTTGGACAGAGAGAGGGAAAGCCCTACCTGTTGAAAGAGCAGATTAAAGGAAAAAGTCAAAGTCAGAGTTTGCTTTTGTTACAGTCTCTAGTCAGGTCATGAATGAGAATAGAATCAAGGCAGGAAACCAGGTCTCTAGTATAGCACT